AGGTCACTACTGACCAAAAGGTCATGAGTTTGAATCCAGCCCGAGTCAGAGTAAGCTTCCAACCATTGTGTGTCACTTGCTGTCAACCTTTGCAGCCTGAAAGACAGTTGTATCTGTCAAGTAGGAAATTTAGGTACCGGTTATGCGGGGAGACTAATTTATGAAGCAATAAAAATCTCCAGCAATCATGCAAAAAATGAGGAAGTACTTCGCCAGTGTCACAAATGGACAGTGAAACAACAGCTCCCCTTTGAAGCCCGAAAGGCAGTTGTATCTGTCAAGTAGGAAATTTCGGTACCCACCTACATGGGGAGGCTAATTTAACTAGGAAATTTATGTACCACTTAAGCGAGGAGACTATTTTAACTAATTTACAAGGCCATAAAAATCTCCAGCAAGCATGCAAAAAATGAAGAAGTACTTAATCCGTGTCACAAATGGACGGTGAAACAACAGCTCCCCTTTGAAGCCCAAAAGACAGTTGCATCTGTCCAGTAGGAAATTTTGGTACCCACCTACACGGGGAGGCTAATTTAACTAATTTACAATGCCATAAAAATTTCCAGCAAGCATGCAAAGAATGAGGAAGTACTTCACCAGTGTCACAAATGGACGATGAAGCGACAGCTCCCCCGGTGGCCGGAATACCCTCATGAAAAAGCTGGAATGTTAAATAGCCTCTCTGTGTCTGTCTATGTATGTTGTGTGTCTGTGGCATTGAATGTTTGCCGTGTATATGTGCATTGTAATCCACCCTGAGCCCCCTGCAGAGTGAGGAGGGCAGAATAGAAATACTGTAAATTAAATAAAAATAAATGGATGTGATAGATAGAGTATCCTAGATTTGGAAGGGACCCCCAAAGGTCATCTAGTCCAGCCCTGTTTCTGTCTAGGAGCCATTGGTCACCGGGGGTGGACTATGTACACACAAAGAGAGAGATGAGAGGTATGGCGTCCTCCATCGGGAAGGGGCCACCAGTGCCCATCCAGTCCAGCCCCACTCTCCACTGTGTACGTCGGATCCTTGTGACTTGGGGCGGCCTGTATCTTGCCCGGAGGCCGCTGTGTGCGCCTGTCTGCGCGCCTGTCTCTCGGGGTCAGAAGGTCTGCTTTGGGCGGCGGGTGTGGGTCCAAATAGGGGAAAGGGCACCCGGCGTGGGCAGTGTTGGTGCGCCTGTGTGTGCGTGTGCGGGGCAGCAACGCCTGCGGCAGGACAGGCCCTTCCCGGAAACCCCTCTCCTGGGACCAGGCCGGTCTCCCCCTCCTTCCCTCGGTCTTTCTGGCATCGTCCGCCTCCTTCCCTCGTTTACATTCATAAGCAAAACACGACGGCATCCACTGGGGAGCGGTCTGGATTTGCTGAGAATTATAGGCAAAGTCCCCAAGAGGTTCTCTTCCTTCCTCCCTTCCCTTCCCTTCCCTTCCCTTCCCTTCCCTTCCCTCTCTCCTCCTTTCCTTTCCTTCTTCCTTCCTTCCATCCATTCATCCTTCTCTCCTCCCCTTCTTTCCTTCTTGCTATCCTTCCTTCCTTCTCTTCTTTATTTCCTTCCTTCCTTCTCTCCTTCTTTCCTTTCCTCCTTCTTTCTTTCCTTCCTTCCATCCATCCATCCACTCATACATCCTTCTCCCCTTCTTTCCTTCTTGTTATCTGCCTTCCCTCCTTCCTTCCTTCTATTCTTTCCTTATCTCCTCTTTTCCTTTCCTTCTTCCTTCCTTCCTTCCATCCTTCTCTCCTTCTTGCTATCCTTCCTTACCTACCTACCTACTTCCTTCCTTCTTTCTCTTCTTTCTTCTTTCCTTCTTTCCTTTTCTCCTCCTTTCCTCCTTCCTTCCATCCATCCTTCTCTCATTCTCCCCTTCTTTCCTTCTTGCTATCCTTCCTTCCTTCCTTCCTTCCTTCTCTTATTTCTTCTTTCCACCTTTCCTTCCATCCATCCATCCTTCCTTCTTTCCTTCTCTCCTTCCTTCCTTCCTTCCTTCTTTCCTCCCTATTTGCTGCCTCCCTCCCTCTCTCCCTGTTTCCTTGGCTGAGGAAGAGGAGGGACGCTGACCTTCCTCCTCCTCCTTCTCCTCGTTTGGGGCCGTGAGTGCCGGAGGCGCCATTGATTTCTAAAGGTCATAAATATCACCCCGCTGCTGTTGCCATTCCTGCTTCTCCGCCTTGGGCTCCTTTTCTCCTCTGGCCACCTTTGGAAAGAGACGAGGCTTTTGCAGAAGGAGGGAGAGAGGGAAGGAAGGAAGGAAGGAAAGAAAGAAAGAAGGAAACTTGAAACTCCCTTTTCAACTCTGGAGCCGGGCCCTTGAATCCCTTTGATGTGTTGTATTGATCCTATCTTCCCCCAGTAGAATGGCCCTCTGTCGGGAGGGATTGGCTTGTGCTTTCCCTGCATGAAGGCAGAAAGAATGGGGTTGAACTTGGGGGGCCTTTGGAAGACCCTTCCAACCCTAGGGGTCAATATTAATGTGTAGTAGCAACCTTGGGCTGGACGGCCACCTGTTGGGGGGGATTGAATGGTGTCTTTCTCAATGATAAAAAGAAGGTGGTGGGGCTGGGTGGCCTTTGGGGGTCCTCTTCTGTGATTTGGCCCCAGAGCGGCTTCAAGGGGGGCTTGGTGCATTCCTCTAGTGACCCCCTTGGCCTTTGCCGTGCTGCCGGAATGCCTTTGGAGATGAGTAACGCGCCTTCGTTGCCTCTGTGGCCACGGAGGAGACTCTTCCCATTGATCCCACTCCTCTTCCACGTCAAAATGTGCAATGGGTTCAGCTTCCTTGCTCCTCTCGCACCTGCTTCCAAGTGGCTCTGGCTTCAGGGAACATGGCTGTGAGGCTCTTAATAATAACAATAATAATAATAATAATCTTTATTTATACCCCGCCACCATCTCCCCAACGGGGACTCAGGTAAGCGCTCCCTAGGGTTCCCTCCCATGAGCGATACAGTCAAGAGCGGAACCGCTTTCCCACTAAGAGACTAAACCGACCTCTTTCTTTCAGAGATGACGATGATGCTGCTGCAGCTGCGCTTGTCGGGGGCCCGGCGCCCCTTGCTGGCCCTCCGCAGGGCCTGCCGATGCCCGGCCGCCTTCCGCAGCTCCGGCCAGACCGAGTACCAGCCCATCCGGAAGGTCATGGTGGCCAACAGAGGTGAGCAGGGAGGCAGGTAGGGAAATGGTGGGGGGGGGGTCTCTCTTTTGAGGATGGCCTCTGACCTCCGCACTCTGCCTCCCCTCTTTCCCCTCAGGGGAGATCGCCATCCGCGTGTTCCGCGCCTGCACGGAGCTGGGCATCCGGACGGTGGCCGTCTACTCGGAGCAGGACACGGGGCAGATGCACCGGCAGAAGGCCGACGAGGCCTACCTCATTGGGAGGGGGCTGCCCCCCGTCCAGGCCTACCTCCACATCCCGGACATCATCAAGGTCGCCAAGGTGAGCCCGTCCTGGGTGGCCTGTAACCATAAATGAACGCGGCTGGACTGCATCCCCCCCTCAAGGCTGTCAGGATCGCAGCCCATTGGTTCGCTCACTGCTAATCCATCAACCGTGGATCAGGAGCAAACTTGGCACACAGAGCCCCCATGACCCATTTTGTGTCCTGGCAACATTCAGGAAAGAGCAGACCATGGATGATGGGATTTGCAGTCCTGTCACTCACATCTAGAGACTACTGCTAACCCCATCAGCCATGGATTTGGACCAAACTTTGCACAGAGCCCCCCCCCCCCCGGTCTTCTGAGGGCGGCCCAAGGGAACCCAAGGCTTCCTGGTCAACCGATTGTGAGTGTCCCGGGCACTTCACCCCGTCTTCCCCCTTTCGCGCAGGAGAATGAGGTGGACGCCATCCACCCTGGGTACGGGTTCCTCTCGGAGCGCGCGGACTTTGCCCAGGCCTGCCTGGAGGCCGGCGTGCGCTTCATCGGCCCGAGCCCCGAGGTGGTGCGCCAGATGGGCGACAAGGTGGAGGCGCGCGCCCTCGCCATCGCCGCAGGTGAGCAGGGAGCCCGCCCGTGCCTGCGCTCGTGCCACAGGGTGCCCCAATGTGTGGTGGGAGGGGGAGGGGAGGGGGAGCCCCGCCACGAAGGGACCCCGCTGACCTTCCCCACCTCCCCCCCGAATGGCGCAGGTGTGCCGGTGGTGCCCGGGACGGAGGCGCCCATCTCCTCGCTGAACGAGGCCCAGGAGTTCTCCAAGAGCTACGGCTTCCCCATCATCTTCAAGGCCGCCTTCGGGGGCGGAGGGCGCGGGATGCGGGTCGTGCGCTCCTACGAGGTGAGGGGGGAGGGCGGGAGGGGAGGGACTGGGAGCATGCCCCCCCCCATATGTGTGTGTGTATATACACACACATACACGTACCAGGGCTGACACCCTTCCCCACTCCCCTTCCACCTCTCCCTCCCTCCCCTCATTTTCTTCCTTCCTTTTCTCTTATTTTTCCTTCCCTGCTTCATCCCTCCTTCCCACACTTCCTTCTTCCCTTCCTCCATTTCTCCCTCCCCACTTCACTTTCTCTCTCCCTTCCTCTGCTCAATCTCCTTCCTTCTCAACTTCCTTCCTTCTTTTTTCTATTCCCTCCCTTCTTCACTTCCTTCTTCCCTTCCCTCTCTCTTTCCTTTCCTTCCTTCTCCACTTCCTCCTTCGCTTACTTCCTTCTTCCTTCCCTTTCTCCCTCCTTCCTTCCTCCCTTTCTCCCTCCCCCCTTCCCTTCCTCCCTCTTCCTCCTCCCCTTCCTTCCTCCCTTTCCTCCTTCCTCCCTCCTTTCCCTTTCTTTTCTCCCTCCTCCCTTCTTCACTTTCTTCTCCTTTCCCTTCCCTTCCTTCTTCCTTCCTTCTTCCTTCCTTCCCTTCCTCCTTTCTCCCTCCCCCTTCCTTCCTCCCTCCCTCCCTTTCTCCCTCCATCCCTTCTCCATCTCCTCCTTCTCCTTCCTTCCTTCCTTCCTCTTTTCCTCCCTCCCCTCACTTCCTTTCTCCTTCCTTCCTCCCTTCCCTTCCTCCTTTCTCCTCCTCCTCCCTCCCTTCCCTCCTTCCTTTTCTTTCTTTCTTTTTCCTTCTTCCTTCTTCTCCTTCCTTCCTTCTTCTTCTTTCCCCTTCCTTCCTCCCTCCTCCCTCCCTTCTTTCTCTCCTCCCTTTCTCCCCTCCTCCTTTCCTTCCTTCCTCTCTTCCTTTTTTTCCCCCCCCCCCCTCCTTTTTTTTTTTTTTTTTTTTTTTTTTTTTTTCCTTCCTTCCTTCCTTCCTTCCCCCCCTATTCCCTTCCTTCCCTTCCTCCCTCCTTCCCTCCCTCCATTTCTCCCTCCCCACTTCACTTCCTTTCTCCTTCCTTTCCTCCTTTTCCTCCTTCCTTCCTTCCTTCCTTCCTTCCTCCTCTACTTCCTCCCTCGCTTCCTTCCCCTTCCAGGAACTGGAGGAGAACTACACGCGTGCCTTTTCGGAGGCGCTCTCGGCCTTTGGCAACGGCGCCCTCTTCGTGGAGAAGTTTGTGGAGCGGCCCCGGCACATCGAGGTCCAGATCCTGGGTGCGTGTGCAGGCGTGTGTGTGTGTTGTTGTTGTTGTTCTGCTTGTGGCAGGGACGCAAGCGGCACGACGCCTCGCCCCCCCCTTCCTTCTCTTCCCTTCCCTCCTCTCGAGCCCCCCGTTCCCCCCCTCCAGGTTCAAGGCTGAAGGAAGCGTTGCAAAAGCACAATAGACACAAGGAAACAAGAGCGGGTGCCTGGCATGCGTGTGCAAGCATGTGCCACGCCAGGGATGCGTGGGCGGAGGGAGCCCTTCTCTTTCTCTCTTCCCGGTTTGTGTGGGAAGAGGCTTCCTGCAGAAATAGCCTTCGCAGCCTCTCTTCCCGTGACTCAAGGCATCTTCGTCATCATCCTCATCATCATCGCATGGAAACAGGCAGGCGGGAGGGCGGCGGCGGGACACGTGGGCTTCCCGTGACAGATCCTCCGGGCTCCCATCATCCTCATCATCATAGGAGACACTGGCTCGTGTTGTGCTCATGGAAGTCTCACTCCATGGTGATGATGATGATGATGGTGATGATGATGATATAGACCTGCCTAGTGTCCTTCTCATTGACATCGAGCTTCAGTCCCTAATAATAACAATAGTCATAATTTGACTTTTTGGTGTGTCAGGAGCGACTCGAGAAACTGCAAGTCGCTTCTGGTGTGAGAGAATCGGCTGTCTGCAAGGATGTTTTGCCCCAATGTTTTACCATCCTGTAGGAGACTTCTCTCATGTCCTCGCATGGGAAGCTGGAGCTGACAGATGGGAGCTCACCCTGCTCCCTGGACTTGAATCACCGACCTTTCAGTCAGCAGTCCTGACCGGCACAAGGGTTTCACCCAGAGCGCCACCGGGAGATTCTAATATCATGATAACAACAACAATAATATGGAACATAGGCCTGGACAGTGTCCTTCGCGTGGATGATGATGATGATGATGATGGCAGTCTAGCTCCAGTCCCCAATCATCATCATCATCATCATCATCATCATAGACTCTGACCAGTGTGTGTCTCTCTATTTCTAGCGTGCGCCCCCCCCCCCATTATTTTCCCCCAGGTGACCAGTACAGGAATGGGGCACACTGGGACAATACTCATCATCTTCATCGTCATCATCATCATCACCCTCTAGCTCCAGACTCCAATAATATTAATAGTAATAATAATAATAATAATAATAATAATAATAAGATGATAATAATAATATAACAACATAGACCTGACCTCGGTGTCCTTCTCATGGAAGTCTAGCTCCAGTCTCTAATAATACTAATGGTAAAGATAATGCTAGGAGAGGCATTGACCTGTGCCCCCCCCCCCCCCGCTCCCCAATTCTTTTCCGCAGGCGACCGGTACGGGAACGTGGTGCACCTGTACGAGCGGGACTGCTCCATCCAGCGGAGGCACCAGAAGGTGGTGGAGATCGCCCCGGCCGCCCACCTGGACTCCCAGCTGCGCTCCCGGCTGACCAACGACGCCGTCCGGCTGGCCAAGCAGGTGAGCGGGCATTGAGGTCCGGTCGCCCTCCTTCTCCGGGAATCTACCCGTGAATATGGAGCTGGGTGGCCATTTGCTGGGGGGGGGGGGGCTGGACTGGGGTGGCCTTTGGGGGTCCCTTCCTGCCATTATTTACCGTAATTGTTTGTTTATTTCTGGCTTTCCTCCCATGAGTGGGACTCTAAGCGGCATAGAAGGCGGAAACAACAAGTCCAACGAAAACCTCATAACCCAGATTGCACCCCATACATCCCATATATAAACAAATGAATAAATTACAACAAATATCATTTTAAAATTCCCTAAACTTCCGGCCACTGAGGTTATTCGTAAAGCAATTTCCTTTTGGTCATAAGAAAACGTTGCCAGGCCTGACATGGCTCTTAAAAGAGGTCCACGACCACGTCAGGAAAGGCCTGGCCCCGTAAAAAGGTTTTGATTTGCGAATGAAGGGCCAGCCGGGAAGGGGCCGGTCGGTCGCTCCTCTCTGGCTGACCCTGGGCGGCATTGCAAGGGCCGGTTGCCCCCTCCAGTGACCCTTGGCGATGACCTCTCGGCAGGCGGCAGCTGCACCCGCCTTGCTCTCTCCTTGGTGACGTTGCGTGGGGGACTCTGGTGACTCCGACTGTTTGCAAAGTGGGGTTCCTTTGAGGGCTGTCAAGCTGAGTGCCCCCCCCCCAGGTGTCCGTCCTGTTGACCCCAAAGCGGGGGGAGAGGAGGGGGGCTTGAAGGCCCTTCCCTTCCTCTCGCCCTTCCCGCCTGTCTTGTACAAACCCAATTATTTGGGGCTGTTTTGCCTGCACACGTGTCAGGAGCAAATGCTGCTGGAACACGTTGGCCACGCAGCCCCGAAACCACGCAACGCTCCGGCGATTCTGGTCGCGAAAGAAAGAAAGCCTTTGACAATACGCTCTCCTTGCCATCCTTTCCCGGCCCGTTTTGGGAGCCTTTGGCGCTTTGCAGAAGCCTTGGTTTGGCCCTAGGAACCAGGCAGGGCTGGACCCCCAGGCAGACCCCCCTCCCCCCCCGCCCCCCGGAAGGGCCTCTGGTGCCGCCACAACCCCCGCGCTTGACGGCAAACGGCGGCTGAGTGCGAGTTGGCAAAGCGGCCCGGCCTTTGCCAGGATTCGCGTTCCCGCTCCAGCGCACAATGTGCATCCGCTGTGCTTTGGTGGCACTTCTCTCTGGCCCTGGGCAAGGCCACGGCTGGGATTCGCAAACACCAGCCAAGGAATGACTGCGGCCTTCGCCTCCCCTTGCCGGCCGGCCTTCCTTCCTTCCAGGAATTGTCATAGAGAGAGGCCCCCTTATTATTATATTATTATTATTTCCTTCCATGCCATTCTCTTGCATTTAATATTATTATTATATATTATTATATAATATTATTATTATATATATTATTATATATTATTTAACATAATATAATATAATTATTTCCTTCCATCCCAATCTCTTGCATTTATTAGTATTATATTATATTATATTTGTTGTGAGTCAGCATTATTATTATTATTATTATTATTATTATTTCCTTCCATGCCAATCTCTTGCATTCATTGCTATTAGTATTATAATTGCAGTTTCTCAAGTCACTCCTGACACAACAAAAAATAATTATAATATTATTATTTCCTTCCATGCCAATCTATTGCATTTATTAGTATTATATTATATTATCGTTATTTCCTTCCATGCCACTCTTGCATTTAATATTATTATTATTATATAATATCATTATTATTTCCTTTCATTCCCATCTCTTCCATTTATTATTATTATTATATTATTATTATTATATAATATAATATTATTATTTTCTTCCATGCCCATCTCTTGCATTTAATTATAATATAATATATAATTATTATTTCCTTTCATTCCCATCTCTTGCATTTATTATTATTATATTATTATTATTATTATTATTATTATTATATAATATAATTATTTCCTTCCATGCCCATCTCTTGCATTTATTATTATTATTATTTCCTTCCACAGCAATGTCTGCATTTAGTATTATTATTATTATTATTATTAACATTATCATATAGTATAATTATTTCCTTCCATGCCAATCTCTTGAATTTATATTATTATTATATTATATTATATTATTATTACTCCCTTCCATGCCGTTCTCTTGCATTTAATAATAATATTATAATATAATATAATATTATTTCCTTCCATGCAATTTCTTGCATTTCCTTGTTTCCACTTATTACCTTTTATAATAATATAATGATAATGATAATAATAATGATAGAATTCTAGAGTTGGAAGAGGCCGCCTGGGCCATCTACTCCTTCCAACAGTCAAAGTACGATCGAAGCCCTCCCGACAGATGGCCGCCCAGCCCCCCCCCCCCCCTTGATAATAACCCTCACGGTTGACTTGGAGACTCCTGGCCTTGGAGAAGGGCCCTTGGAGGGGCCCCCAGGCGACCAGCCCCTCCTTCCTTCCTCCCTCCTTTCTCAGGTGGGCTACGAGAACGCGGGGACGGTGGAGTTCCTGGTGGACCGGCAGGGGAAGCACTTCTTCATTGAGGTCAACTCCCGACTCCAGGTCGAGCACACCGTCACCGAGGAGATCACCGAGTGAGTAGGGGGCACGCGCACACACACACGCAAGCACACGCATGTGGAGAGAGAGGGGGGGACCGCATGACCATGGCCTTCACCCTGCTCCCTCCCGCTGCTCCCCAGAATGCCTCTGCATACATTTGCATGTTTTACATTCTGGGTAATTAACGTGAGGTCGTTACCGCCATCATTGCCAATTATGGGTTGAGTTCCTTTCTGGAGTTAATGGGGACGACGGGGAAGGGAGGCTTGAAAGGCCGACAGCAAGTGGGAAAATGACATTTCTGGAAAGGAAAGGTGCCATCTATCCATCCATCCTTCTGTCTACCTACCTATCTACCTGCAGACACCTTACCTCTCTCCATGCTCACAGGAAAAAAACATCTACCTGCCTATGTGTCTACTTATCTATCTAGCTACCTCTCTCTCTCTCTCTCTCTATCTTTCTGGCTGTCTACCTATCTGTCTACCTACCTACCTATCTACCTGCAGACACCTTATCTGTCTCCATGCTCACAGGAAAAGAACATCTACCTGTCTATGTGTCTGTCTGTCTATCTATCTATCTATCTATCTATCTATCTATCCATCCATCCATCCATTCATCTATCTATCTATCTATCCATCCTTCTGTCTACCTATCTACCTGCAGACACCTTACCTCTCTCCATGCTCACAGGAAAAGAGCATCTACCTGTCTACCTATCTATTTACCCATCCATCCATTTTCCTACCTACCTATCTGTCTGTCTGTCTACCTATCCATGTCTCTGGAGACACCTTGCCTCTCTCCATGCTCACAGGAGTAGAACATTTATATCTTTCTCTATCTGTTCATCGGTGGAACTCTCTGCCTCGGAATGTAGTGGAAACGCCTTCCTTGGAGGCTCCTGGGAACAGAGGCTGGGTGGCGGTGTTGCTCCTGCATAAGGGCCGACAGAGGAGGGGGGTTGGACTAGATGTCCTCTGGGGCCCCTTCCAAGCCTGGGATTTGGCCCCCCTCGGCCTCTGTGGCTTGCCATTGAGCACCTCTGGCTGGACCGGCCTCGCTCCAGCTGTGCTTTTGGAAGAGATCCATCTGCTCTCTTTAATTCCCCCAAAGCGGATTCAAGGAAAGGAAGGAGGGAGAGAGAGAGAGAAAGAAAGAGAGAAAAGGGAGGAAGAGAGAGAGAGAGAGAGAGAGAGAGAGAGAGAGAGAGAGAGAGCCTCCTGGCCGCCCTCCTCCTCTCCATTGCAGCCCCCCCCCAAGCAACACCCCTAATATTCATTGTATTTATTACATTTATATCCATTGGCCTTCATATAATCTTGTGCATTTACTATTATTTATTAATAATATTACTATTTACAATTACTATTATTATTATTATTATTACTGTTTCTTCTATGCTGATCTCTTTCAATTATTATTATTATTATTATTTCCTTCTATTATTATTATTTCCTATGCAATTATTATTATTATTATTTCCTTCTGTGCATTTATTATTATTATTATTATTATTATTATTATTTCCTTCTATTATTATTATTTCCTATGCAATTATTATTATTATTATTTCCTTCTGTGCATTTATTATTATTATTATTATTATTATTATTATTATTATTATTATTGTTTCCTTCTATTATTATTATTTCTTATGCAATTATTATTATTATTATTTCCTTCTCTCCGTTTATTATTACTATTATTACTGTTGTTATTATTATTATTTCTGTGCATTTATTATTATTATTATTATTATTATTTCCTTCCATGCCTCTCTCTTGCATTTCCCCTTTTTGGCTTATTACTTTTTGCAGTCGTGGTTTTATGATCATGAATTCTTAAATGGCAAAGCGGCGTGGCTTGCCGATGATCCCCAACCGATGAGCAAGGCTGGTGGTTCTTGTGTGGACTCTGCCTCTGGCGCGGCGGGACCAACGGCTGGAGGAGCCAAGGCCGGGCCTTCCCTTCCCTTCCCTTCCCTTCCCTTCCCTTCCCCCCTTCCCCACCCCTCTTCCTCTTCTCTTCTCTTCTCTTCTCTTCTCTTCTCTTCTCTTCTCTTCTCTTCTCTTCTCTTTCCCTTCCCTTCCCTTCCCTTCCCTTCCCTTCCTTCCCTCCAGCGTATTCCTTCCCTCTCGGGAGCTCCTTGAGAAGCGTTCACGTGGTCGGTGGTGTCTTCTGGTGTGAAAGCAAAGCCTTGCAAGGCGGGCCCTTGTTCCCGCTCAGCCTTGAACCCCAAAGGAAGGCAGGCAGGCAGGCAGTCAGTCTTGCTTGGAGGAAACAAGGACCACAAACAAAGGCCGAGGCCGCAAGGACTGCTTCGCGATGCAAGCCTCCTCCACGCTCCCCCCCCCCTTTGCCCTTGGCCATTGTGGCGCCATAACCCTCCGCTTCATGCATGCGCTGCTGATGCTGCTGCAAATGGCCTTGTGCATTTCCCCCGGGAAAGGTTTGCAAGGCGCTCTCGGCCTTGGCAGGGAAATCAGCGCACCTGCCTGGGTTGGATTGTCTCTCCCAGAGTCAGGGGAGTTGGGAGGGGCCCCTTCCAAGGGCCATCCAGTCCAGGCAAGGAAAGGAAACGCACAATCAAAGCCCTCCCGACAGATGGCCACCCAGCCACCACTTAAGAATAATCATGATCAGGATTGAATCAGAGAATCACAGCCGTGGGAAAGGACCCCCGAGGGCTGCCCGGACCATGCCCGCTCCTGCCAAGCTGAAGGAGAAGAAGGTGCCCCCCCCCCCCGCCTCCAAAATAATCATAATAATCACAACAACAACAAGAACAAGAACAACAATAATAGAGGCTGTAGGAAAGTGAGGGCCTAACTACCTATCTATTTACCTATGTATATACCTATCTATCTATCTATCTATCTATCTATCTATCTATCTATCTATCTATCTGCCTACCTATCTACTTATTTATCTAAATATCTGTCTGCCTACCTATCTGTTTGTATATCTACCTGTCTACCTATTTATCTATCTATTCATCTAAATATCTATCTATATATCTGTCTACCTATGTACCAACCAACCTTCCTATTTATTTATCTTACCTGCCTATCTGTCTGTCTATCTATCTATCTATCTATCTATCTATCTATCTACCTACCTACCTACCTACCTATTTATCCACTTGCTTACCTACCTACCTACCTAAATATCTACCTGTCTACCTATTTATTTATTTATCTATCCATCTAAATGTCTATCCATCTAAATATCTGTCTGTCTATCTACCAACCTACCTATTTATCTATTTATCTACCTATCTATCTATCTATCTATCTATCTATCTAATCTATCTATCTATCTATCTATCTACTTGCTTACCTACCTAATCTATCTGTCTGTCTGTCTGTCTGTCTGTCTAAATATCTGTCTACTTATCTAACTATATATCTACCTGTCTGTCTATCTATCTACCTATTTATCTACTTGCTTACCTACCTACCTATCTAAATATCTACCTGTCTAACCTACCTACCTACCTGTCTTTCAAAGTCAAGTTTGAAAAGCTGTGGGGCTTGATGGAAAGAACCACACTCTGTCTGTGGAAGTGGGGCCGTCTCTCTCTCTCCTGGCGACACCTTGCCCATGCTCTCCATGCTCACAGGAGGGGGGCCCAATGGAGGAGGGGGCACCAAGGCTGGATGTTGACCCTTCCTCTCTCTCTCCCCCCCCCCCCCCCACAGTGTGGACCTCGTCCACGCGCAGATCCACATCTCGGAGGGGAAGAGCCTTCCCGACCTGGGCCTCCGCCAGGACAGCCTGCGCATCAACGGCTGCGCCATCCAGTGCCGCGTCACCACCGAGGACCCCGCGCGCGGATTCCAGCCCGACACCGGGCGCATCGAGGTAGGACCGGAGACCCACGCCCACCCTGCCCTCCCACCCCCAAGGGCGCCACGGCCAAAGGAGCCCACCCAGCACAACCCACTTCTTTCGGCCATAAGGCAGGGCACAATCCGATCCCTCCTGACAGATGACCATCCAGTCTCTGCTAATTATTAGTATTATTTACCATAGAATCCTAGAGATGACAACCTATAGAAGGCAATTCAGTCCACCCCCTTTTTGCCATAAAGGAAGGAACAATCTGATCCCTCCCGACAGATGGCCATCCAGCCTCTGCTAATTATTATTATTATTATTATTACCACCATAGAATCCTAGAGATGGGTGAGACCCCAAAGAAGGCCATTCAGTCCACCCCCTTCTGCCATAAAGGAAGGCACAATCTGATCCCTCCCGACAGATGGCCATCCAGCCTCTGCTAATTATTATTATTATTATTATTACCACCATAGAATCCTAGAGATGGGTGAGACCCCAAAGAAGGCCATTCAGTCCACCCCCTTTTGCCATAAAGGAAGGCACAATCTGATCCCTCCCAATAGATGGCCATCCAGCCTCTGCTATTATTATTATTATGATTATTATTATTATTACCATAGAATCCTAGAGATGGGTGAGACCCCAAAGAAGGCAATTCAGTCCACCCCCTTTTTGCCATAAAGGAAGGAACAATCTGATCCCTCCCGACAGATGGCCATCCAGCCTCTGCTAATTATTATTATTATTATTACCACCATAGAATCCTAGAGATGGGTGAGACCCCAAAGAAGGCCATTCAGTCCACCCCCTTTTGCCATAAAGGAAGGCACAATCTGATCCCTCCCGACAGATGGCCATCCTGCCTCTGCTTTTTAAAATTATTATTGTCTCTATGATTGGAGTGCCTTCCCTGTGCTGCCTTCCCTGTGCTGCTTTGTCCCCTCCCGTCCCGCCAGCGCCTGGCCCTCCCTCCTCCTCCTCCTCCTCCTCTTCCTCCTCCTCGTTCTCTTTCTCTTCTCCATCCCTCGCCTCGCTCAGAACGAAGAAGCCGGAGGAACCTTTGGGGATTATTTTTATCCTGAGCCTGAGCTTCCCTGACTTGCCCTCCTGCCTCAGGGTGAGGAGGAGGAGGAGGAGGAGGAGGAGGATGCCGATGATGCCTGGGCACTCACTGGCTCCCTCGCTCGCTCCCTCCTTCCTCCTTCTCTCCTTCCCTCCTTCGCTCGCTCGCTCGCTCGTCATCCCTCTTTGCAGGGAAGTGAGCCTCATGCGGAGCGACAATGAGCAGCCCAGTTGGCTTCCTCGGGGCACAAGCCACTCTCACCCCCCCTTCCTCTCCTTTCTTTCTTTCTTTCCTTCCTCCCTTTTCTATTATTATACTTATATAATAACTGTTATTATATTTATTTATACCCTGCTTTATCTCTCCCGAAGCAGCCATGTATCTCCCATTATTATTATTATTATTATTTGAGACATAACAAGATGAGTCCACAGCAGACAAGGTCACCCTGCTGGGTGTTGTACTGGATCCCAAGTCGGACCCTAGGACTGTGTGATGTATTGGCGAATGATGCGTGCAGATCTGGGTAGAGTGGCCTTCTGCAGCTGGCAGGTGGCAATCTTGTCAGCGCCAATTGTGTTTAAGTGCAGGCCAAGGTCTTGAGTCACTGCACCCAGTGTGCCCATCACCACTGGGACCCCCTTGACTGGCTTGTGCCAGAGTCTTTTATTATTTTACATTATTATTATTATTATTATTATTATTATTATTATTATTATTATTATAAACAACAACAACAACAAGATGAGTCCACAGCAGACACTCTGTTGGCTGTTGTATTGGATCACATGTCGAACCCTTCCCAAGTGTCTAGGGCTGTGTGATGTATCGGCGAATAATGTGTGCAGATCCCAGTAAGGTGGCCTTTTGCAGCTGGCGGGTGGCAATCTTGTCAGCGCTGATTGTGTTTAAGTGCTGGCCAAGGTCTTGAGGTACTGCACCCAGTGTGCCCGTCACCACTGGGACCCCCTTGACTGGCTTGTGCCAGAGTCTTTGCAGTTCGATCTTTAAATCCTCGTCTCGTGTCATCTTTTCCTGCTGTCGCCTGGGATTGCAACATCCACGATCTATACCTAGTTTTTTAACACGATTGTGAGGTCAGGAGACTTGTGCTCCAAAACTCTGTCTGTCTGAATTTGGAATATATTAAAATATATTATAGTATATTATTTTTATATATAATATATGATAACCCAGTGAAATATTATTATTATTATTATTATTATTATTATTATTATTATTATTATTATTATTACCCCGCTTGATCTCTATCCTTCAGGAGACTCAAAACAGACATTAAAACAGAATATACACAGTGTTAAAAATCAGTTAACAGCCACTAAAGCATTATTCTTTTTTACTTCCTTTCCCTTCCTTCCTTCCTTCCTTCCTTCCTTCCTCCTCTCCTTCCTTCTCCATCTCTCTCTCTCTCTCTCTCTCTCTCTCTGAGCCTTGTTTTGGCTTTGAAACATTCCCTGAAGCCAAGCCCCCCCCCTCCCCTCCTCCCCCACCCAAATGGGAATGGGAAGCCTCCTCCTGATTCGTGGTGGGAAAGGCAGGCCGGCCTCGTTAACTATGCAGCTAATTAGCAGCCTGGGAAAAAAGGAGGAGGGGGATTCGGTGCAGCGTAATAACAACGGATCCTCCTTAATTCCCCGTAATTGAGCCTGAAGACCCTGGAGAGGAGATGGGGGGGGGGGGATTTTCATCTATCTATCTATCTATCTATCTATCTATCTATCTATCTATCTCTCTATCCTTCTGTCTTTCTACCTATCTGTCTACCTACCCCTCTACCTGCAGACACCTTACCTGTCTCACAGGAGACAAGGACATCTACCTATGTGTCTGTCTGTCTGTCTGTCTGTCCTTCCATCTACCTATCTACCTGCAGACACCTCCCCCCCCCCCCCGTTGTGGCTTTGTGCAAGCCGGCCTCCAGTCCCATGCGTGCCTTCTTGCCACTTGTGCCAGAGTCTTTGCAGGTTGATCTTTAAATCCTCATTGTTGTTGTTGTTGTTGTTGTTGTTATTATTATGGCACGGAGGCAAGAGCAAAGGGGCATCACAAGAAAGGCAGTCAGTCGGGAAGGGGCCGTGACAGGGGCAGAATGGCCGTGGCCGTGGCTGGGGATGCTGGGATCCGGACGGGGGGAGGGGGAGGACAGAGAGAGAGCCGGCCTCCCTGGGAGAGAGTGAGCGAGCGAGCGCGTGTGCCTCTGCCAGTGCGTGTCATTCCAGGCCACAGCCCCCCCCCCTTTCCCCTTTGTGACATTTTCCCTTGCATTCTGGGGGGGGGCATTGGGGAGGGGGCTCTCCTTTGGCACTCAGCGGCATTTGTGGGTGGAAGAGAACGTGCATGGGGAGGGGGCTGCCCTCTTCGAAGAGACCCCCCCCCACACACACACGCACACACACCCCCTCAGTGCTGATGCAGGCGCCCCCCCTTCCTGCCAAAAAGCACAGCTGGGGGGGCAGTGGGGGGGGAGGCCAGTGGAAAACGGCCCCAGGAAGCCAATCCGCCGCCTCGACCTCTGCCTGCGAGTGGCTCATTGATCTTTTCCTCATGGGTTGTGGCTGGGAGCCAAGAGAAGGAAGGGAAGCAGGAAGGAAGGGAGGGAGGAAGGGAGGAAGGAAGGGGAATGGGGCCCGGTCCTGGAATACTCCCCACAACCCAGGCGCTGACCCCCCTTTTGCCCCTTTTGCCACCCAGAGCGGCCGGAGACCAGCCCTGTGGGACCAGCATTTATTTATCCGTCCTGGGGAAAGGGAAGGTGGGAAGAGAGACTGGAAGAAGGCAGGAAGGAAGGAAGGAAGGAAGGAAGGAAGGAAGGAAGGAAGGAAGGGAGGAAGGGAGGAAAGGGCTCACCACCACCTGCGGGAAGCGCCTGAGAAATGTCAGGCTGGAAATGTCATTGGAGAAAGGAAGCTGTCCTGAATAACAACAACAACAACAACAACAACAACAATGCTCTGAATGAAGAGGGAAGCAGCCATTTCTATGCTCCACTGGAGTAGTAGTAGTAGTAGTAGTAGTAGTAGTAATAATAATAAATATAATGACAATAACAACTGGAAAAGCTGACACAAGAGGAGGATTTAAAGATCGACCTGCAAAGACTCCGGCACAAGCCCGTCAAGGGGGTCCCTGTGGTGGGTGCAGTGCCTCAAGACCTTGGCCTGCACTTAAACACAATCGGCGCTGACAAGATGACCACCTGCCAGCTGCACAAGGCCACCCGACTGGGATCTGCATAAATTATTCACCGATACATCACACAGTCCAATGTGTGACACAATACAATAGCCAGCAGAGTGATCTTGTTTGCTTTGTACCAATCTTGTTGTCTATCAAATAATAATAATAATAATAACAACAACAATAATAATAATACATCTCACAGTCTTAGACGCTTGGGAAGTGTTCGACTTGTGATTTTGTGATATGAAATCCAGCATAGAGATCTCGTCAATAATAATAATAACTAGTCAAGGTGGTGGTCGGCACACTGGGTGCAGTGCCTGAAGACCTTGGCCTGCACTTAAACACAACCAGCGCTGACCAGAAGGCCACCTTATCGGGATCTGCACGCATTATTTGCCGATACATCGCACAGCCCTAGACACTTGATCCAATACAACAGCCAGAAGAGTGTCTGCTGTGGACTCATCTTGTGGTGTTTCTAATAATAATAATAATAACAATAATAATAATAATGCAAAGACTCTGGCATTATTGCCATTATTATTAGCACAATTATTATTTGTAATATTATAGCTATTATTATTATTATTATTATTATTATTATTATTATTATATCATCATCATCATCACCACCATCATCCTCATCATCAAAAGTTGCTCCGGGCTCCTTCCTGAGGCACCCACCACTCATTTCCCAATGTATTACTATTATTATTATTATCATCAATCCATAATCAATAATCAGAGGATACCTTGGCTGCTCCCAGCCCACTACTCGTTTCTCTATATGTTATTCTTACTACTACTTAATAGTAGTAGTAGTAGTAGTAGTAAGAATAACATATTGGGAAACGAGTAGTGGGCTGGGAGCAGCCAAGGTATCCTCTGATTATTGATTATGGATTGAAGCAGCCAGGGCAACCCTCCCCAGGCGCCCCCACTCATTTCCTAATGCATTATTATTATTATTATTATTATTATTATTATTATTATTATTATTATTATTTCATCAAAAGCAATCCAGGAAGGAAGGGAGGGCAGGCCTTGGTCTTTTGGGGTGGGTGCGTGGGGGGGGGGTCTCCTTGATTCCCCTTGACCCCTCCTCCCTCCCTCCCTCCCCCCCCCAGGTCTTCCGCAGCGGCGAAGGGATGGGCATCCGGCTGGACAGCGCCTCGGCCTTCCAAGGAGCGGTCATCTCCCCGCATTACGACTCCCTGCTGGTCAAGGTCATCGCCCACGGGAAGGACCACCCCACGGCCGCCTCCAAGATGGCCCGCGCCCTGGCCGAGTTCCGCATCCGCGGCGTCAAGGTAGGGAGGCCGCTTCCCCCCTTTCCCCCTCTCGCATGAATGCCGACCCCTCTTGCCCCCCTTTCCCCCATTGAGTCCCTTTCGTCCGCTGCAGCAAAGCATTCTGGGCCATAGCCATAGCCCCCCCCTCTCCCCAAAGAGTGGGAAGTAGGCACGCCATTCCCCCCAAAAGGATGCGAAAAGGAAACCGGAATAGGAAAAAGGTTCCCACTTTATACACATTGCAAACTCATTTGGTTTGGTTTTTGACATGGGGCGCCCCCCCCCCATCTTCTCCCCATGTTCCTCAACACCATTCACATACACACGCACCCCCGGGGCCCATCTGGGCCTGTCTCTGGGGCCCCTCCCGTTGCCTTCGAGAGGAGGCCAAGGTGGGATCTTGGGGGGGGGGGGCTCCTTCCTCTCCCCGTGTCTTCTTTTTGGCAAGCATTTCTGCTGTCTATCAAAAGAGGGAGGGGCTTCCGCTTCCGCTTCCTTCTTTCGGCCCATTGAGATTCCTGCCTTGAAGGGGGTCGTCGTCGTCGTCGACGGTTTGCGGTCTCGAGGGGGGAGTTGTTGTCGAAGGCATTTCGAGGGACCCCCTCACTCCCCCCCCTTGCCCCCAATGGGCCAACCCTCCTCCTCGATCCGCCGGAGGCTACACCACGCTCTCCTCCAGGTCCTCCGCGTTGAGGAGGGGTCCCAGCCCCTTCGCCATGGCAGTGCTTTCCTCCACGGGCGCTGCCCCCTCCTCTGGGAAGGGCCCCTGCCCCATCATGCCTTGCACCGACTGGCTGCGCTTGCTCCAGGCCCGGCTCAGCCGCTTGGCGTAGCAGCAGCCGTTGCCGCTCTGGGGAGGGGCCACGAAGGGGGGCCCGTCCCCCAGGTCCAGGGAGCAACTGCGTTGGGCCTTGCTGCCCGCGCGCGCTCTCCGCCCCACCGTCCTGCTGCCCTCTTTGGCCTTCGCCGGTCGCCGCTGCTGGCACTTGTGGGGCGCGACCCGCAGGAGGGCCACTCCCCCGCCACCACCGCCCCCGTTGGTCTGGGAGTGGACGTGGGTAACCTTCGGCAAGGCCACCTCTGCCGCCCGCCCGCTGGCGCAGACCTTGTAGCGCACCATCATGACCACGGTGAAGACCAGCAGGGTGACCACCACCACGCCACCCACGATGACGGCCAGCGTGCCGCCCAGGAAGTGGGCCTGCAGGGCGCGGCAGTCCGGGAAGGGCTCCTCCGCCGTGGAGAAGGCGGCGCAGCCCAGCAGGTGGGTAGCCGCCAGCGCCGTGGCCGTGTCGTCGAAGATCGCCAGCAGGCAGAGGTCGTAGTCCACGCCCGGGACCAGGTGCCGCAGGAGGAAGCGCCGCGTGCCGCCCGGGACAATCCTGCGGGGAGAAGTGGGAGTGAGTGCATCGATGCCCAGGGCTGCCACGGAGGCCCTCCAGGTGCAGCCACCCCCAACCTTTGGCCCTCCAGGTGACAGGACTTCCGCTCCCACCATCTCTACAGCCAGGACTCCTGGGGGCTGAAGTCCAAAACCACTGGGGGGCCAAAGGTCGGGGGACCACTGCTTCAGAGGAAAGGCAAAATGGAGGTGGAGACCCTACTTCAGAGGAAAGCCAAGTTGGAGACCCTTCTGAAGAAAGTCAAGATGGAGACCCTTCTGAGGGAGACCTTCCTGAGGGATGTGGTGAGGGAGGCCCTTCTTCAGAGGAAAGCCAAGTTGGAGACTCTCTTTAAGAGAAGATGGGATTGAGACCCTACGGGGAAGGTCTAGAAGCTGAAATTAGAAGCTACTGGGAACCAGGGTCCCTCTCTGCCCCTTCCCATGCATTACGGCTCCATTTGGCCACCCCAACTGTCTCCACTTTCACCCCAGGACCTGATCCACCCCCACCCCCCAGCTGCAACCCCTTACCTGTAGACGAGCGTGTCGTCCGCGGTGGAGTTGTACTGGATCTGGTACATCCAGGCCGTGAAGGCTGAGGAGGGGTCCAGGGTCCAGCGGACGAGGGCAGAGGTGGCTGTCACCTCAGAGACCTCCACGGCACGCCTGGTGGGACCCGCAGCCCCCTCATTTGTCCCGTTCCCCACAGAGGAGGCGGAGGAGGCCTTGGCGGCAGCGGAGGATGCAATGTCAGAAGAGCCTGGGTCCGGCTGCGGGGCGGCCGCACTGCCGTTCCCCCGGTGCGGCAGCGGAATGACTTGGAGGTGGACGGCAGCGGTGGCCTCACCGGCGGCATTGATGGCGATGCAGGCATAGGCCCCGTCATCGCGGAGGGTGGTGACCAGGATATCCAGGGTGCCGTTGCGGAAGGAGGCTGTGCGGGAGGAGTTGCCCAGGATGCGGTCATCCGGGGAGACCCAGTGCACGGCTGGCTCAGGGTCGCCCACCGCCCGGCAGCGCAGCGTGGCCCGCTGACCCTCCAGCACCCAGAGCCGATGGCTGTGCCGTGTGATGAGCGGCGGTTCGCAGGCGAACTCCTCCTCTGGCACTGACCAGAAGTAGCGCCCGGCCAGGTGCGGCGGAGAGGCGCAGGTCTCCAGGTCGTCAGGCCGGCCCAATCGCCGCAGCCAGAGCAACTCGCAGTTGCAGTGCAGGGGGTTGCCGCCGAAGCCCAGGGACACCGTGGGGGCGTACGGTGTGGGGCTGACCACCCCGGGCAGCGCACGAGCAAAGAGTGGGTCCGGAGCTAGCGTCCGGAGCCGGTTGGAGGTGAGGTCCAGGCGCGAGAGCTTGTAGAGCTGGACGAAGGCCCCCTCGGGGACAGCCTCCAGCAGGTTGTGGTCCAGGTTGAGCGTGTGCAGGCTGAGCATCGCCCGGATGCCGGCCCACGGCGCCCCTCGCAGGTTGTTGTAGGAGAGGTCCAGGTCCTCCAGCGTCAGGAGGAAGTCGTCGAAGGCCTCCGCCGGGACCTCCTCCAGCTGGTTGTTGTTGAGGATGAGGTGCTGCAGGTTGAGCAGGCCCCGCAGCGCCCCGCCGGGCAGCGCGGCCAGCCGGTTGCCGTCCAGGTGCAGCGAGCGCAGGCTCTCCAGGTCCCCGAAGGCCAGCGGCCGCACCGTGTCGATGGTGTTGCGCGAGAGCGTTAGGTCCACCAGCCCCGACATGTTCAGGAAGTCCAGTGGCTCCAGCACCCGGATGAAGTTGTCCGCCAGGCGCAGCTCCACTGTCCGGCGGTCGATGTGCGGTGGCACGAAGAGCAGGCCCTTGTGGGCACACAGCGTGCTCAGCGACTCTGAGAGGTTCTGGCAGACACAGTGCGGCGGGCACGACTCCTCCGCCCCCGAAGGCTGGGCCTTCGACGGCACCGCCAGGATCAGCAGGGACGGCAGCAGCAGCAGCAGCAGCAGCGGAGGCAATGGGGGCAGACGCCTGCCCATGGTAGGCGCTCCGGAGGCCGGATCTGCGGACAGAGGGGTCGGAGGGAGTCAGAGCTCAAAATGGGGGGGGGGGGTTTGACGCCATAGGGAGGGGCTCAAGACCGCAAGTAGCTTGACTCTTCTGGATGGCCAGACTGCCGTCTATGGGGCTGCCCTTGGAGACTGTGCAGAGGCTGCAAGGATCGGAGGGAAGGGTCACCACTGCATCTAGACCATTAAACCCCCGAGTGGCCTCTAGCCCCCCACTCATGATGTGACGCTAATGAGAGGACCGCCAGGAACAGCAGGAGTGGCCATGGGGGCGGCCGCATGCCCATGGTAGGCGCTCCGGAGGCCAGATCTGCGGACAGAGGGGTCGGAGGGAGTCAGAGCTCAAAATGGGGGGGGGGGGTTTGACGCCATAGGGAGGGGCTCAAGACCGCAAGTAGCTTGACTCTTCTGGATGGCCAGACTGCCGTCTATGGGGCTGCCCTTGGAGACTGTGCAGAGGCTGCAAGGATCGGAGGGAAGGGTCACCACTGCATCTAGACCATTAAACCCCCGAGTGGCCTCTAGCCCCCCACTCATGATGTGACGCTAATGAGAGGACCGCCAGGAACAGCAGGAGTGGCCATGGGGGCGGCCGCATGCCCATGGTAGGCGCTCCGGAGGCCAGATCTGAGGACAGAGGGGTCGGAGGGAGTCAGAGCTCAAAATGGGGGGGGGGGGTTTGAAGCCGTAGGGAGGGGCTCAGGACCCCAAGTAGCTTGAGTCTTCTGGATGGCTAGACTGCCGTCTATGGGGCTGCCGTTGGAGACTGTGCAGAGGCTGCAAGGATTGGAGCTCAATCATAGGGAAGGGTCATCTCTGCATCTAGACCATTAAACCCCCGAGTGGCCTCCACCCCCCCACTCATGATGTGATGCTAATGAGAGGACCACCAGGAACAGCAACAGTGGCAATGGGGGCATCCGCCTGCCCATGGTAGGCGCTCCGGAGGCCGGATCTGCGGACAGGGGTCGGAGGGAGTCAGAGCTCAAAATGGGGGGAAGGGGTTGACGCCGTAGGGAGGGGCGCAAGACCCCAAGTAGCGTGACTCTTCTGGATGGCTAGACTGTCATCTATGGGGCTGCCCTTGGAGACTGTACAGAGGCTGCAAGGATTGGAGCTCAATAATAGGGAAGGGTCATCTCTGCATCTAGACCATTAAACCCCCGAGTGGCCTCCACCCCCCCACTCATGATGTGATGCTAATGAGAGGACCACCAGGAACAGCAACAGTGGCAATGGGGGCATCCGCCTGCCCATGGTAGGCGCTCCGGAGGCCGGATCTGCGGACAGGGGTCGGAGGGAGTCAGAGCTCAAAATGGGGGGGGGGGGTTGAAGCCGTAGGGAGGGGCTCAGGACCCCAAGTAGCTTGAGTCTTCTGGATGGCTAGACTGTCGTCTATGGGGCTGCCCTTGGAGACTGTACAGAGGCTGCAAGGATTGGAGCTCAATTATAGGGAGGGTCATCTCTGCATCTAGACCATTAAACCCCTAAATGGCCTGACAGGTGCTCCAGCCCCCTGCTAATGATGTGACGCCAGGAACAGCAACAGTGGCTTGACCCTTCTGCATAGACTGCCATCGATGTAACTGCCCTTGGAGACTGTTTGGAGGCTGAAAGGAGCTCAATATTAAGGAAGGATCCCCCCTGCATCTAGACCATTAAGACCCCAAGTAGCTTGACTGTTCTGGATGGCTAGACCGCTGTCTATGGGGCTGCCATTGGAGACTGTGCAGAGGATGCAAGGATCGGAGGGAAGGGCCACCACTGCATCTAGACCATTAAACCCCCGAGTGGCCTCCAGCCCCCCACTCATGATGTGATGCTAATGAGAGGACCACCAGGAACAGCATCAGTGACAATGGGGGCCTGCCCGTGGTAGGTGCTCCGGAGGCCGGATCTGCGGACAGATGAGTCGGAGGGAGTCAGAGCAGAAAACGGGGCGATTGGCCCCATGGCGGCTGGGAATTGTGGGAGTTGGAGTCCAAAACACTTGTAGGGAGGGCCGAAGTTGGCCCCGGCCGGGGATAGACTGCCGCCTGCGGAGCTTGCAAGCGGAACCGGACCCGACTGGGGCTCAGTCTTAGGGAAGGGTCACCTTCTGCTTCCAGGCTGTGAAGACCCTGAGTGGCGTGACCCTTGACCCCCCTGCTCTTCGGCCCTTCCTTGCTAATGAGGCGGACCCCCTTCTGCCCCCCCCCCCCCCGATGCGTTGCTTTCGGCCTCCGGCTCTGCCTTGATGGCACTGCGTTCTAGTGGCGGGTTGCACGCGCGGCCCTTTCACTGCGGGCCGGAGGTGGTCCGCCATCTGGACAAAAGGAAGAGATGGACAGACGGAGGGAGGGAGGGATTGGGGAGGTCTCAGGCCGAGACCCCCGCCCCGACAAAAAAGAGCCAGGACAGCCGGGGGAGGGGGGAGGGAGGGACCTTGTGCGCGTGCAGAGTGCCCCCTGCAGTGGGGGGGGGGCAAAAAAGAGGAGGGGTTCCCCCCTTTGCATGTCCCTCTGGGTGGGGAGGGGGCTGCCACTCATAATGGGGGGGCTCCATCCCCCCCCTCTGCTCCTTCCCTTCTCCAATCGAGGCCCCTTTTTCCTGGGGAGGGGGCACAGTCCCCCATCCGATAAAGGGCAGCATGAAGGTGAAACATGGGGGGGGGTTCCCTCCTTAAAGGGGCCTCCCCCAATTTACCCCCCCCCCCATTTCCTTACCTCCTTTCCCCGTGTGCGCCTTCCTTCCTCGCTCCCTTCCTTCCTTGTCTTGACCCCTCTTCTTCTTCTTCTTCTTTGTCTCGGCCTCAAAGGGGGGGCCCTTCCTTGGGTCCAGGGGGCCCCCCCTCCCCTCCCTCCCCCTCCCCCTCCCCCAGGGCGGGCATCACCAGAGGAGAGAGAGAGAGACCCTCCCTTCCCTCCCTCTCTTCCTCTCTTCCTTCCTCTCTTCCTCCCTTCCTTCCTTTTCTCCTGACAGGCTGCAGAGCCCCCCCTCTCTGTTTCAGGGGAGGGAGGGGTTGGAGGAGGAGGAGGGGACAGGGCGGCTGGCATCCCTCGCTCGCTCGCTCGCTGTGATTGGTCCATGGGGAAGCAGAGTGGTGGGGCGGCCGGCCAATGGGGAGGCGGGGGCGGGGCCAGGAGCATCCTTGTCTCCCTCTCCAAGGCCGAGAGAGAGCGTTCCTGCAGCATCATCGCCTCTTCTTTCGGGATCCTGGGATTGGCGGCCGATCCGGACAGGGACTCATCAGCCCCTCCCGCAGCCTTCTGGGAAATGCAGTCCCTCATCAATCATCATCATAGGCGATGATGATAATAACAATAATAATAATCACAACAACAACTGGGCTTGGCAGCTGTGACGGTCTGGGTGAGGGCAAACCAGTTGAAGTTGAATCCAGACCAGACGGAGGTCCTCCTGGTCAGTCGCAAGGCCAAACAGGGCCGAGGGGGGCGGCCTGCGCTGGACGGAAGGGGCGGCGCTCCCCCGAAGGCGCAGGTTCGCCCTTGGGAGTGACCCTGGACTCATCGCTCAGCCTGGAAGCCGAGGCATGCGCAGAACTAAAACTTACGCGCCAGTTGCGCCCGTACCTTGGGAAGTGGCTTGGCCACGGATGTCCACGCTCAGGTGACATCCTGTATAGACTACTGCAATGCGCTCTACGTGGGGCAGCCTTTGAAGACTGCTCGAAAGCTCCAATTGGTCCAATGGGTGGTCGCCAGGTTGCTCACCAGAGTGGTGTACAGGGAGCACACAACACCTCCCACTCCACACACCCCACCCCCATTGTGCCAGCCCCATTGGCTGCCCCTTTGCTTCTGAGCACAATTCAAAGTGCTGGTTGTAGCCTACAAGACCCTCTTGAGGGGAGGCCCCGCTCTCGGTCCCGCCTTCGTCACAAGTACGTCTGGCGGGGACGAGAGACAGGGCTTTCTCAGTGGTGGCCCCTCGGCTATGGAGCGCCCTCCCAAGGGAGATCAGATCGCCTTCTTCACTCCTAACATTTTGGAAAAAACTCAAGACATGGCTATTCAAGCAAGCACTTGCAAATATTGCGTAATGGACACAGGAATTGGAACAACTACACGATGAGACTGGACGTGTCTTCTTTAATGAGAATTTATTGATTTGAGTTTTGTTATTGTTCTGATTTTATGGATGTTAATGCTTTTTCTATATTGTATTTGTGCTTCTATGGTATTGAATTTTGTCTTGTAAACCGCCTCGAGTCGCCAGAAGGCTGAGAGGGGCGGGATACAAATGCAGTCAATAAATGATAAATAATCAATCATTCCCGCCCAGCTCACCTCTCTGGACGTATCTCCCTTCAGGAGCCAGGGAGGGCATTGAGATCGGCTGCGGAGGCTCTGGTGGGAAAGAGGTCCTTTCCAACTCTATGAGTATAATAATAATAATAATAATAATAATAATGATGACTTTATTTACATCCCACCCCATCTCCCAATATGGGGCTCGGGAGTGGCTAACACCATAAAAGGCAAATATCCAATGCCAACAAGTGCAGACGTACAGGTGTAACTTAATCAAAAGCATTTAAACTCAACCACTCTGGGAAGGAGAGGGATCCCAGCTGACATTACAGGGATTTACTCTTAGTATTAAAATGTATTATGTACCCAGAGCGCAGGAAATGCACGAGACCCATGGTTCTCCTCCTGTGGGTCCCCAGATGCCTCGGCCCTCAACTCCAGAAATAATAGCCAATGGGTAACAGATCATCATCATAATATAGTAAAACTGTCTTCTTGCCTGGCCGAAGAGGGTTGGACTAGATGGCCTCAGGAGGTCTCCTCCAGCTCTAAGAGTCTAATAATAATAATAATAATAATAATAATAATAATAATAATAATAATAATATAGCAATTCGATCTTTGTGTCAGGTGGAAGTGGGTTGGACTGAATGGCCTCTAAAGGTCTCCTCCACCTCTTTGAGTCTAATAATAATAATAATAATAATATATATTTTTTTGGTCGTGTCAGGAGCAACCGCTCCTGTTGTGAGAGAATTGGCAGTCTGCAAGAACGTTGCCCAGGGGACGCCTGGATGATTTTTGATGTTTTATCATCCTTGTGAGAGGCTTCTCTCATGTCCCCACATGAGGAGCTGGAGCTAATAGAGGGAGCTCATCCGCCTCTCCCTGGATTCGAACCTGCGACCTGTTGGTCTTCAGTCCTGCCGGCACAGGGGTTTAACCCACTGCGCCACCGGGGGCTCCTAATAATAATAATAATAATAATAATAATAATAATAAGGATAAATAAATTCGATCTTTGTGTCAGGTGGAAGTGGGTGGGACTGACTGGCCCCTGGAGGCCTCTTCCAAGTCTATGAGTCACCATCATGTTATAGTGATATTCTGTCTTCCTGCCAGGGCAAGGGGGTTGGATCAGGAGGCCCTTCCTTCCTTCCTTCCCTCCTTCCTTCCTTCCTTCCTTCCATCCATCCATCCATCCATCCATGATTCTGTGAACGGTGGGGAAGTCTTCCCAGAGGGGCCCGTGCAGAGGAGCCGCCATTCTGGGGGAGACGCAGTTCCAGCAAGAGTTGTGCTTTATATGGATGGGCGATACAGGAGTTCAAAGGCAATCGCAAGAAATGGCTCTGTGGCGCACCGCTTGCGCTTCCCTTCCTTCCTTGGAGGCTAGGAAGCAGCATTTCCAAATGCAATGGCCGTGGAATATGATAAGGAATCCATTATTGTTGTTGTTGTTGTTATGTTTATGTCTATGACAGGAAGGCCCGCCAGAAGGAAACGGCGCTGTTGCGCAGAATGCTGCAATGCCAGGAAGCGCTGTTTCTGAGTGTGACGACCCTTGAATATGACAAGGGATCCATTGTTGTTGTTGTTGTTGTTGTTATGCTAATGGCTCCCCCTCTTCTTCCTCCTTTTCCAGACCAACATCCCCTTCCTGCAGAACGTGCTGGGCAACGACCAGTTCCTGCGCGGGACGGTCGACACGCAGTTCATTGACGAGAACCAGGACCTCTTCAACCTCCGCCCGGGGCAGAACCGGGCCCAGAAGCTGCTCCACTACCTGGGTGCGCGTGGGGGGGTGGCCATGGGTGGGTGGACAGGCGGAGGGGGGGCTTCTCCTTGATCCCTCTCTAATGCACCCCCTTTCCTTCCTTCCTTCCTTCCTTCCTTCCTTCCTTCCTTCCTTCCTTCCAGGCCACGTCATGGTCAACGGCCCGCTGACCCCCATCCCGGTCAACGTCCGGCCCTCGCCCACTGACCCCACGGTGCCCCCGGTCCCTCTGGGTGAGTCTGGGTTGCCACGAGGCTCCCTTCTATCACGTGAGATCACTTTGTGGCCAGCCGGTCACCCCGTCCCAAGCCGAGCGCAAAGAGAAGAAGGAAGGCCGGCCGGCCGGAGGCTCCAGACGTCCTTACGGAGCCCTCTAGGGGCCGGAGGGGGGCGGGGCGCCTGTCCTTGTGTGTATGCGTGTGTGTATGTATGTCAAAGTGGGGGGAGGGGAGTAGGGCTTCAACCCCCCCACCCCAAAACCTTTACCTTTGCTTTTTATATATGTGTTTATGTCTATGAGTAGATGTGTATTTCCATATGCGTCTACATATATGTGGGAGCCCCTGGTGGCTCAGTGGGTTAAAGCTAGTGGGTCAACTAGATGACCCCTTCGGTCCCTTCCAACTCTAGGATTCTATTATTATTATTATTGTTATTATTAAGCAGAGGCTGGGTGGCCATCTGTCAGGGGTGCTTTGATTGTGCTTTTGCTGCATTGAAGAAGGGGGTTGAATTGAGCTGCTGAGCTTATTGACCAAAAGGTTGCAGGTTCAAATCTGGGGAGCAGCATGAGCTTCCGCTGTCAGCCCCAGCTTCTGCCAACCTAGCAGTTCAAAAACATGCAAATGTGAGTAGATGAATAGGTACCACTCTGGTGGGAAGGTAACGGTGCTCCATGCAGTCATGCCAATGACCACATGAACTTGGAGGTGTCTATGGACAACGCCGGCTCTTCGGCTTCGAAATGGGCACCAGAGTCCCAGAGTCGGACATGTGTGTTTGTATGTATGCATGTATATGTGTGTGTGTATATATATATGTGACCTTTCCTTCTGTGACAGGGCCTCCCCCGCAGGGCTTCCGGGATGTGCTCCTGCGGGAGGGCCCCACGGGGTTCAAATTGCCCATCTGTGGAAGTGGGTGTATGTGTCTCCGTGAGACGCCTCCATAACTTCCTTCCTTCCTCTGCAACAGGGCCTCCCCCGCAGGGCTTCCGGGACGTGCTCCTGCGGGAGGGCCCCACGGGGTTCAAATTGCCCATCTGTGGAAGTGGGTGTATGTGTCTCCGTGAGACGCCTCCATAACTTCCTTCCTTCCTCTGCAACAGGGCCTCCCCCGCAGGGCTTCCGGGACGTGCTCCTGCGGGAGGGCCCCACGGGGTTCAAATTGCCCATCTGTGGAAGTGGGTGTATGTGTGTCCGTGAGACGCCTCCATAACTTCCTTCCTTCCTCTGCAACAGGGCCTCCCCCGCAGGGCTTCCGGGACGTGCTCCTGCGGGAGGGCCCCACGGGGTTCAAATTGCCCATCTGTGGAAGTGGGTGTATGTGTGTCCGTGAGACGCCTCCATAACTTCCTTCCTTCCTTGCTTCCTTCCTTCCTTGCTTCCTTCCTTCATGACAGGGCCTCCCCCGCAGGGCTTCCGGGACGTGCTCCTTCGGGAGGGCCCCTCGGGGTTTGCGCGGGCCATCCGGCAGCACAAGGGCCTCCTGCTGATGGACACCACCTTCCGGGACGCCCACCAGTCCCTGCTGGCCACGCGCGTGCGCACCCACGACCTCAAGCGCATCGCCCCCTTCGTGGCCCACAACTTCAGCCGCCTCTTCAGCCTCGAGAACTGGGGCGGTCAGTGGGGCGGGGGAGGGCGAGAGGGAGGGGGGCAGTGGGGGGCTTCTGGGTCCCTGTGAGGGAGGACCCCCCTCCCCTCCTGACGCCCCCCCTCCGTCCTCCCCCAGGGGCCACCTTCGACGTGGCCATGCGCTTCCTGTACGAGTGTCCCTGGCGACGGCTGCAGGAGCTGCGCGAGCTGATCCCCAACGTCCCCTTCCAGATGCTGCTGCGCGGGGCCAACGCCGTGGGGTACACCAACTACCCGGACAACTCGGTCTTCAAGTGAGTGCCTCGCACAGAGCCCGGCTCCAAAAGTTACAAAAGCTTAAGGGGGGGGGGGCGATCCCGCTGGCTCTCTTTCTGGAGACACCTCTCTCTCCATGCTCACGGGACAAACATGGAACTGGAAGAGGCGTGTCCCTGAGAAGGACCACCAAATAGGAACAGGATGAGTTCTGGGGAGTGCCCTGCCCCCCCCCCCTGCTCTGGAGGAAGACTCCCCCCCCCCAGGGAGACTAGGGACCCCCCCCCCTCGGCATTCAGGAGGGACCTCAAGGCGGGCTCTGAAAAGGATTAATACCTTTCAGTGTGGACAAGGTCTTTGTTTTCGTGTGCGAGGGATGGACTCCGATTCGGATACTTTGGCTTCCATCTAACTTATTGGATCCAGTGTTTTAACCTAATGTTTTTATACTCTTTATTGCTTAAACTGAGTATTTTGTTTTATTCTGATTTGTTAATTATCTTGTAGATACTATTTGGAGCCCGGGACCCCTCTTCCTGTCCTCAGGAACTCCGGGGGTGGGTTGCGCCCCCAAAGCGCCCCCCCCCCTTGGCCCCCCTTGGCCGGGCTCAGCGTCTCCTCTCCCCTCCGCAGGTTCTGCCAGGTGGCCAAGGAGAACGGGATGGACATCTTCCGCGTCTTTGACTCCCTCAACTACCTGCCCAACATGCTGCTGGGGATGGAGGCGGCCGGCCAGGCGGGGGGCGTGGTGGAGGCGGCCATCTCCTACACGGGAGACGTCTCCGACCCCGCCCGCAGCAGCAAGTACACGCTGGACTACTACCTGGACCTGGCCGAGGAGCTGGTCAAGGCCGGCACCCACATCCTGGCCATCAAGGTACAAGGGGGCACAATGGGGAGGGGGGTCAGGAATTGGGCTGGACTGGAGGGCCTCGGGAGGTCCCTTCCAATAATAATAATAATAATAATAATAATAATAATAATAATAATAATGCAATAATTCTATCTTCCTGCCAGGCCTATGTGGTCCCTTCCAGCTCTAAGAGTCATAATAATAATAATAATAATAATAATAATAATAATAATAATAATAATAATAATATCGCAATAATTCTATCTTCCTGCCAGGCCTATGTGGGTTGGACTGGAGGGCCTCTGGAGGTCCCTTCCAACTAGGACTTTAGAAATAATAATAATAATAATAATAATAATAATAATAATATCGCAATAATTCTGTTTTCCTGCCAGGCATATGTGGGTTGGACTGGAGGGCCTCTGGGTAATAATAATAATAATAATAATAATAATAATAATAATAATATAGTGATTCTCCGTTCCTTCTCGGACCCGTAATCCCCCCAGATACTGGATGGGGAGGGTGCAAGTGGTCGGGCGTCCGGAAGGGTCTCTGTTCCTTCTCGGTCCCGCAATCCCCCCCAAGATAAGCCATGTCACCAGCGCAAGTCATAGTCAAGGTCCAATCAAAGCGTTCACCGACAGAGATCCGGACTCTAGCGGTTCCACGACGTTGCTCCCAGCCACCTGTTAGCTGAGCCTCCCGCTCTTTGCGCCATTTCCCTGAATAGGGGAGGGCTCCGTAACGGTCCCCCCCACTCCGCTCCTGCCCCCCCTCCTCCCCAGCCCCCTTCCTGCCCTCTTCCTCTTCCTCTTCCTCTGTCTCCGCAGGACATGGCGGGGGTCCTGAAGCCGCAGGCCTCCTCGCTGCTGGTGGGGGCCCTGCGGGAGCGCTTCCCCAACGTGCCGCTCCACATCCACACTCACGACACCTCCGGGGCCGGAGTGGCCTCCATGCTGGCCTGTGCCGCCGCCGGGGCTGACATCGTGGACGTCGCTGTGGACGCCATGTCGGGAATGACCTCCCAGCCCAGCATGGGCGCCATGGTGGCCTGCACCCGCGGGACGGAGCACGACACAGGTGACCCCGGGGGGGGGGGCACAGGTCAATCAGTGGTGTCAATCAGTCAGTGTGTCTCCAGGGCCCTCCCCATCGGCTCACAAGACCCCCCCCCATTCCCTTCCCTCCCCCCAGGCATCCAGATGGAGCGGGTCTTTGACTACAGCGACTACTGGGAGATGGCCCGGGGCCTGTACGCCGCCTTCGACTGCACGGCCACCATGAAGTCCGGCAACGCCGACGTCTACGAGAACGAGATCCCCGGCGGGCAGTACACCAACCTGCACTTCCAGGCCCACAGCATGGGGCTGGGCAGCAAGTTCAAGCAGGTCAAGAAGGCCTATGTGGAGGCCAACAAGCTCCTGGGGGACCTCATCAAGGTGGGCAGTTATTACGGCCGTCACAACTTCACAACGCTGCTCCCAGCAACTCCCCACTTCCGCTCCTTTCCCAAGTGCTCTGAGCCCACCCATTCGATCTTCCCCGTATATGGGGCTCCCTTTGGCCCACCCTCCTCTCTCCCCCGCTGACCACTCCCCCAATTCCCTTCCTGCAGGTGACCCCTTCCTCGAAGATCGTGGGCGACTTGGCCCAGTTCATGGTCCAGAACAACTTGAGCCGGCAGGAAGTGGAGGCCCAGGCGGACGAGCTCTCCTTCCCGGTCTCCGTGGTGGAGTTCCTGCAGGGATACATCGGCATCCCTCATGGAGGGTTCCCGGAGCCCTTCCGTTCCAAGGTGGGCTCCGGATGGATGTACGGAGGGAGGGGGAGGGAGGGCCTGGTACTGACCCCCTTTGACCCCTTCCATCCATCTCTGTCCCTTGCCCCCCCCCCCCCCCCAGGAGCCTCAGGAAGAAGGGACACAGAGTTAGCGCAGGATCAGGAGCTCCCGGGAGCTGACCCGGAGCAAGCAGCCCAAGAAGGGCAAAGTACACACAGAGTCCCGAGTTCGTTCTTCCCAAGGGTCAAAGCCTAGCAATATCACCAACTCAAGCCATAGTCAGGGTCCAGTCATAGAGTTCACCGACAGAGATTCGGGCTGTCACAATGTCATGACGTTGCTCCCAGCCACTTCCCACTTCAGCTTCCATCTTTTTAGGCCACTTCCCCCGAGTGCTCTGAACCCACCAATTAGATCTCTTCAACCATCAGTTCTTAATTGCAGCCATGATGGTGATGGTGATGATGATTTACAATATGTGACAAGGTGTCAGCATCTCTGTTGACACCACTCAAGCTGTAGTCCAGTCACCAAAGCCAAGGTCCAAATTGGCAGAGGTTCGGGCTGTAACCATTTCACGACGTTGTTGCCCACAAAGCGCTGGCCCCCGTCTCCACTTCCCCAAGTGCGCTCTCTTGTCGCGGAGAGAAGAGCGGCCCTCCTCCTTCCTCCTGAGTGACAGGCCCTGAGTGACGCGCCCTTTGCCCCGCCCCCTCCTCCCAGGTGCTGAAGGGCCTCCCGCGCGTGGAGGGCCGGCCGGGGGCCTCGCTGCCGCCGCTGGACTTTGCTGCGCTGGAGCGAGAGCTGTGCGAGCGGCACAAGGAGGAGGAGATCACCCCCGAGGACGTGGTTTCGGCCGCCATGTACCCCAAGGTCTTCCACGAGTTCAAGGACTTCACCGCCTCCTTCGGCCCCGTCGAGTGCCTCAACACCCGCCTCTTCCTGGAAGGGCCCAACATCGCAGAGGAGTTCGAGGTCAGCCCCTCGCAACGCCCTCCCAAAGCCCAGGAGCCCAAAGGCGGCAGCAGCAGCAGCAGCAGTTTAGCAGAGCGGAAGCCGCTTGAGCGCAGCAGGCGAGCAAGCGGAGTCAAGCTCATTACACCAGGCAACCAAATTCGGAAAATGTTCGGTTCCTGGTTTGAAAGTGTTCTTCCTGTTGAATCATCTGCCCTTTACTTTGAGAGTAGTTGCTCTAGTCCAGAAACTTTGTTGTTTTTCTGGCTGAATAGGTTGAGACTCGATGATGAGATATTCATTGGAAAACTAAAGCAAAATGTGCTAGAACAGGATGTCCCTCCCCCCAAAAAACCCCCCAAACTTTTCCCATGTTTTTAGGATAGAACCAAGTAGGAAATAATGGCATTTATAACCCAGGAACAAAAACCGTTTTACATAGTGTTACTGTATTATTATTATTATTATTATTATTATATCTATTATTGTTATTATTATGCTTATATTTATTATATTTATAACCCAGGAAAAAAGCATGTTACATTTTACTTTTATATTATTTATTTTATATTATTTATTTATATATTATACAGTACTTATCATTATTATACTTGTTATGTTTATTTTTCCATTTTTCCAATTAGGAAATAATGATATTTGTAATCCAGGAACAAAAAATGTTACATAGTGTTATTATTATATTTATTATTAAATTCATCATTATTATATCGTGTGACGTAGTGTGACAGGAGCAGAGTCAAGCTTGATGGAAAGAACTCCATTTCTAGATAGGAAAGTGAAGGCCTGCCCATCTATCTATCGATCGATCGATCGATCTAGAGAGATAGCGAGCCTCAGTCCTGCCCATCTGCCTCCTCACTGAGGACTAGAGACCTGTGCTCCCCACCCGCGTGCATTCCCCTGACTGACGCTCTCCCCCCCCCCCCCCCCCCCCGTGTGTGGTGACGATGCAGGTGGAGCTGGAGCGCGGGAAGACCCTGCACATCAAGGCGCTGGCGCTGGGCGACCTGAACCGGGCGGGGCAGCGCGAGGTCTTCTTTGAGCTGAACGGGCAGCTGCGCTCCATCCTGGTCAAGGACACCAAGGCCATGAAGGTACCTTTGGCCCTTGCGCTGCCTCCTGTCCGGCCAGGGCAGGGAGGGCCAGGCTCGTCACGAACGAGAGCCCCCCCTCACTTCCTCCCCCACTTCCTCCCCCACTTCCTCCCTCCCTCCCCGCAGGAGATGCACTTCCACCCGAAGGCGCTGAAGGACGTGAAGGGGCAGGTGGGGGCGCCGATGCCGGGGAAGGTGGTGGACGTGCGCGTGGCGGAGGGGGCGGCGGTGGAGAAGGGGCAGCCGCTCTGCGTCCTGAGCGCCATGAAGATGGAGACCGTGGTCAACTCCCCCCTCAGCGGGACCGTCAAGAAGATCCACGTCAAGGTCGACGCCAGCCTGGAGGGGGACGACCTGCTCATGGAGATCGAGTAGCCCGGCGGAGGGGGGCCACTCCACCCCCACCCTCCTCCCTCACGGAGCGGAAAGGGGGCGGCCAGGGTGGGGCCACTTCATCCCCTCCTCATGCCCCATGGGCCGGAAGGCCATCTAATCCCCATGGGGTGGGAAGCGAGTAGCCGAAGGGCCACTTCACCCCCTCATTTCTCATGGGCCGGAGGGCCACTTCACCCCCTACTCCCCCATGGGGCAGAAAGGGAGCAGCTGAAGGGCCACTTGGCCCCATCCTTCTCCATGGTGCAAAATCCTTCTCCTCGTGGGGTGAAGGGCTACTTCGCCCACCCATCCCACGGGGTGAAAGGGAGAAGCCGGAGGCCCAGCCCACAGGCCAAAGGGTCACTTCACCCACCCTCCCCCAAGGGCCACTCCACCCCATGGGGTAGAATGGGAGTAGCTGAAGGGCCACTTGGCCCCATCCTTCTCCATGGTGCAAAATCCTTCTCCTCGTGGGGTGAAGGGCTACTTCGCCCACCCATCCCACGGGGTGAAAGGGAGAAGCCGGAGGCCCAGCCCACAGGCCAAAGGGTCACTCCACCCACCCTTCCCCAAGGGCCACTCCACCCCATGGGGTAGAATGGGAGTAGCTGAGGGACCACTCCCCCCCCCCCCCGTGGGGCGAAAGGGCCACTTCACCCTTGGGATAGGTGGGAGGGGGTGGCCAACTTCCTGGGACCAATGTTGCCAGTGCTTCCTTCCTCTCCCTCCCCTTCCCATGCTTTGCGCAGCCTTATTACGGAGGAGGACGTATGCCTTTCCCGCTTCCCCAATTCACCCCATTCTCTCTCCTCCCAGTTCAAGCTGCCAAATGCCGCTCGCTGAAGGCGGGAAGGAGGCTGTTCGTGGGGAGGAACGCACATGCGCGCACAGGCCTCTTCCTCGGGCAATCTTCCAAGTGCCGTTTACAGGTTCTTCGCCGACTTCTCGGTGAGGAGGGAGCAAAGCGGACACCCGCCCCTTTCCCTGCTGCAAAATGAGCCGGAAGGAGGGAAGGAAGGAAATAAGGAATGGCGGGACTCACCGCGGAGACTTTTTCGGAGAGTCACAAAGGACAGCGTGCCGGGCCTCCCTCCCTCCGTTCACGCTGAATGTACAGGCGGGGTCCTTCCCATAAAGACATCCCAGGCAAACGTTGCCGCGGCTGCTGTTTCTCTCTCTCTCTCTCTCTCTCTCTCTCTCTCTTGGGGGGCCGGGCTTTGGAGAGTGTCTGTCTAGAGGGATCAGATGGTGCTCTCCCTGCATAATGGGAAAACATAAGGGCCTATAGAAGACCCTCCCGACTCTAAGAGCCCAATAATAACAATAAAAATAATAACAATAATATCGATTCTATCTTCCGCCTGGCAGAAAGAGGTTGGACCGGATGGCCACTGGAGGCCCCTTCCTACTCTATGAGTAGGCTAATACTAAAGAAACAAATAATAGTAATCTCTCGGGGGGGGGGGGGGGGGCTTGGGGTCCGTTGGAGCTGTGGAGGCCATCTGTCCAGAGGGATCGGACAGTGCTCTCCCTGCATAATGGGAAAAACAAGGGCCTACAGAGGACCCTCCTGACTCTAAGAGCCTAATAATAACAATAACAAAAACTAAAGCAATTCTATCTTCCGCCTGGCAGAAAGAGGTTGGACCGGATGGCCACTGGAGGCCCCTTCCTACTCTATGAGTAGGCTAATACTAAAGAAACAAATAATAGTAATCTCTCGGGGGGGGGGGGGCTTGGGGTCCGTTGGAGCTGTGGAGGCCATCTGTCCAGAGGGATCGGACAGTGCTCTCCCTGCATAATGGGAAAAACAAGGGCCTACAGAGGACCCTCCTGACTCTAAGAGCCTAATAATAACAATAACAAAAACTAAAGCAATTCTATCTTCCGCCTGGCAGAAAGAGGTTGGACTGGATGGCCTCTGGAGGCCCTTTCCTAGTCTATTACTAAGCAAACAAATAAATAATAGCAATTATTATAGTTCAAGTGAGGATTAATATGGCAAGAGTTGTATTTGAAACGTCTTTATAGAAAAGTCAATACAGAAGTTCAGAGAAAGACAACGTCCGTCCGTCCGGAAGGAAACCCTGGGCCGGAAAGGAAGCGGATCTGCGTTTTCCTTTTTGGAGCATCAGAGTCGATCTCTTCCCGATGATCACAATTCTGGACTCGGCAAAAGATTTCCTTTTGCAGGAAAAAAAAAACAAACCAGCCCCCAAATGCCTTTCCAGCCTCTTGACTTTGCAAATCGGGTGAGAAAACAGGCAGCTTGGTTTCGAGAAAGGCGTCCCAGAGGAAAGCGGGAAGGGAGGCCTCGCCTGGACCGGAAGCAGGAAGTCCCCGAGGAAGCCCCTCTCCTTCGCCCGTTGGAGGCACTTCCCGCCACTGATCTCCATTCGGGGCAGGAAAACTGCAGGGAAGGAAGGAAGAAGGGCAGGAAAGAAGGGAAGGGAGGAGAGGAAGGAAAAGAAAGGGAAGTGGGAAGGAATGAAGCAGGAAGGAAGGGAAGAAGCGAAACAGAAGGATGGGAAGAAAGGAAAGAGAAAGGGGTGAGGGAGGAGAGGAAGGGAAAGGGAAGGAAGGGACGGAGGGAGGGAGGGGGGAAGGCAAGGGGGGGTGTGTGTCTCCAAACAGGAAGGCACCCAAAGGAAGGAAGGAAGGAAGGAAGAAGGAAGGGGCTCCCTCCCCCCCCTTCCTCCCTCCCAGCGCTGGGGCCACGGAGGCCTGCAGAAGCTCCCCAGGCGTGGTGGTGGCGGAGGAATGGCTCAGAAGACGTATTCGTGGGCGGCCTTGAGGGAGGGCATGGCCTCCTCCACGTTCTGGTCCAAGCGGCGGTAGCCCTGCGCCTTCGACCCGCGGAAGCCCTCCCGCCAGCGCCAGCCCTGCACCAGAACCACCACCTGCAGCACCAAGAGGGAAGGAACGTCATCATCATCCTCATCATCCTCATCACCATCATGATGCAAGTTTTACCTGCCCTTCCTTTCAACTTATGGTGGAGCACAATATTACTATTATTAATGTATTATCAGCCTCCTCTTTAATCTTGAGGTGGGATATAATAATAATAATAATAATAATAATAATAATAATAATAATGTATGTATTGCCTGCCTCTCCTTTCAGCTTGAGGTGGGGCACAACATGAACAACAATAATGATGATGATAATGACAATGATAATTCAAGTTTGACTTGCCCTTCCTTTCAGCTTAAGGTCGAGCACAATATTAATAATAGTAATAATAACAATAATATCTGCCTCTCCTTTAGACTTGAGGTGGGGCACAACATTAATAATAATAATAATAATAATAATAATAATAATAATAATAATACTAATTTATGTATTGCCTGCCTCTCCTCTCAGCTTGAGGTGGGGCACAATATGAACAATAATAATGATAATGACAATGATAATTCAAGTATGACTTGCCCTTCCTTTCAGCTTAAGGTCGAGCACAATATTAATAATAGTAATAATAGTAATAATATCTGCCTCTCCTTTAGACTTGAGGTGGGGCACAACATTAATAATAATAATAATAATAATAATAATAATAATAATTTATGTATTACCTGCCTTGGCTTGAGGTAGGGCACAAAATGATCAACAACAACAACAACAATATATGATGTGAACTGACCTTGCGCTTGTTGTGGTACGCGACATATGCCACGGCCACCAGGAAGGCCACGGCCACCAAGTGGAGGAAGAAGTGCCCCCCGCCTTGCTGCGTTGGTGGCTCCAAATGTGGCGACCACGAAGGGACCGTCCTCTCTGCGGAAGAATCGGCAGCAGCGGCCGAGAGCGGCCCCTTGCCCACTCGCTCGCCCTGCGCCTTGCCCATTAAGTCCTCCTCCTCCTCCCCTTCATCATCATCGTCCTCGTCCTCGTCCTCGCCGTCCCCTCCTTGGGGCCCCTCTGGCTCCTCAAAGGCGTCATAGTCGTCGTCGGGCGCCACGGCTTCCCTCGGCGACGGAGAGGCGGGAGGCAGGTCCCGGCCCCCCTCGAGGGCAGCGCCCCCCAAGGCCTCCGCTTCTTCCGAGTCTGTTTTGGGGGGAGGGGGGCTTCCCTCTTCCGTGAGTTTTGTGGCAAAAGGGGGGGAGGAAGCAGCGACGTTCGATGGAAGGGAAGTCGGAGCCGCCGGGGAGGAAGACACTCGGTCCTGGGTGGGGAGGGGGAGGCCTGCAGCAAGACAGAAGGGGGTCGCGTCATATTGTCCTTGTATTATTATTATTATTATTATTATTATTATTTGCACCCCACTTTATCTCTCCCAAAGGAGATTCAAAGCAGCCATCTACCTTTCTATCTAGTATTTATTTATAGCTTGCTTGACCTCTCGAAGAAGAAGACTCCAACCTGCTAGGTGTCTATTATTATTATGATTATGATTAGATGCTCTTCTATTGATTTATCTCTTCTCCGGGACACCCCAAGTGGCTTAATATCGTACGGAGGAATTCAATGGGCGTTATGACATAGATGTAGAGTTACAAAACTCCCCTCCTCCTCCTCCTCCTCCTCACATTCCCGTCACGGGACTGGTGAACAGGGAGGCAAAAGATAGAGGTGAAGACAGAGAAAGAGAACTGGATTGGCTTAATAGATATTAATATATATATATATATATATATATATTACAATAATACATTAATATATTTATAATCGCGTTACCATCAATGATTTATAACTATTATATACATATTATATTATAATTTTATACTACATTATTTATATAATATACTGTATTTTATTTACATTATGAATATGATTGTTATCTATATATATTTAAGAAACTATTATCCGTAGGAGCCACGGTGGCGCACTGGGTTAAACCCTTGTGCCGGCTGAACTGCCAACCTCAAGGTCGGAGATTCGAATGTGCAAGGTGGGGTGAGCTCCCGTCTGTCAGCCCCAGCTTCCCATGCGGGGACATGAGAGAAGCCCCCCACGGGATGGGGACACATCCAGGCAGTGTCTCTGCAGATGGCCGATTCTCTCACACCAGAAGCAACTTGCAGGATGTTCTGAAAGGGCTTCTGGCACAATAAAAATGTCTATGTCCAGCCGACATAATGCCTGGGTGTAAGGTATTCTGTTTTGTGTGGGTGAACAACAACTCCCAGAATCAAGGGCCAATCCTGCCCAAACCCTGTGTGCCAAGTCTGCTCCAGTCTGGCTGTAGCGCTCTCTGGAAAAGACTGAACTGCAACTCCGAGTCGGCCGTGTTGGTTCTGCGTGCCAAGTTGGCCCAGTTCGGTGCTCTCTGGAGGAAGGTGAACTACAACTCCCAAAATCAAGGCCAATTCCCACAAACCCCAGAAGGCTTCACTGTGCCAAGGTTGGTCCTGGTCCATTCTCAGTGGGGGTCAGAGGGGTTTGGGGGACGGACTCAACAGGATGGAAGTTGTAGTTTACCATGCATCAAAGCAGATCACTGTGACTCTCTTCCATATCTGGCACGCAGAACCCCCATTGACCTTGACATATAGGAGTTGTAGTTCACCTACAGCCAGAAAGCACTGTGAACCCAACCAACGATGGATCTGGACCAAACTTGCCATGGATGATGGGACTTGAAGTCTTTTCACTCAATTCCTGGAACCACTACAACCCCCGCAAATGATGCACCTGGACCCAATTTGGCAGACTGGCTCCCTGTGGCGCACTTGATGTCCCGGTGAGGGTTAGGGGAGGATGGACCTCAGATGATGGGATTTGCAGTACACCTCCACTCACTTCCACAGAACCCTGCGACCCCCCCCCCCAACATGGATTACGGGCCTGGACCAAACTTGGGTCACAAACGCCCCAAGAGCAACAGAACATACTGGAGGGATTTGGGGAACTGACTCACCCACGTGGGAGTTGTAGTTCACCCTGCATCCAGAGCACTCTGGACCCCACCAATGATGGATCTGGACCAATCATGGTACACAGAACCCTGGTGACCAGCAGAACATACTGGCGCTATTTGGTGGAGGACTAACCCACCCACGTGGGAGTTGTAGTTCACCCTGCACCCAGAGAGCATTCAGAAGCCCCTCAATGGTGGATCAGGAACACGCGTGACACACAGAACCCTGATGGCCCACAGAACATACTGGAGGGGTGGGGTGGAAATGATCCACCTGCATGGGAGTTGTAGTTCACCCTGGACTCTGAACCCCCTCAATAACAGGTCTGGACCACACCTGGCACACAGACCCAACATGTCCAACTGCGAATACAGGCGGCGTTTGGGGGTCGTTGCCCTGGGAATCTGGGAGTTGTAGTTCACCCGCACCCAGAGAAACCGGGACCCCCAACAACAATGGGTGCGGACCAAACTTGGCACCGAGAAGACCCATCTTGGACTGGACACACTGCGGGGGGTTGGGGGAAATGACCTTGATTTTGGGAGGTGTAGTTCACCTGCATCCCGAGAGCTGATGATGGATCTCGACCACACTTGGCACACACGCGCCCAGCATGGCCAGCTCTGAATCCTGGCAGGGAGGGAGGGAGGGTGACTGCCCTTGGCTTATGGGAGTTGTAGTTCACCCTTACCCAGAGAGCACCCAAGCCAGCCGGCGACGGGTGTGGAGCCAACATGGGCAACTGTGCGTACTGGGTGGGTTTGCGTGGGATTGCCCTGGGAATCTGGGAGTTGTAGTTCGCCCTTACCCAGAAGAAGAAGAAGGAAGGAAGGAAGGAAGCCCCCCTCCCCCTCCCCCTCCTCGCCTCCCTTCCCCCCTCCGGACTCACCGGCGCCCGCTTCCTCTTCCGCCCCCACCGGAAACGGCGCCTGGCCGAGAGAGGCGAGGAGCAGGAGGAGGAGGCCTAGAGCGCCTCCCCGGGGCCCCCGAGGCCCTTCCCTCGCCATCCTACTCTCTCTCGCTCGCCCGCCCGCCCGCTGATCGGCTTCCTCCTTCCGCTTCCGCCCTCCCTCCCTTCCGGGAGAACGCCCCGCCCCGTGACGTCAGCGCCCCTGAGCGCGCCAAGCCCCGCCCCGCCCTTTCTTTCCCTCTATGGGCAGGCCCTCCGAGAGGAGAGTCCCAGAGCGCCCTCCTTCCGCTCTCCCTCTGCCGCCCCCTGGTGGAATCTTGACATTATTTTCAGAAGACAATATGGCGGTGCGGTTCCCCCTCTGTCCACAGGAGGGCAGCACAGAGGCGCCCTCCCCGACTCAAGGGCGCGTTTCCCCCTCTGTCCGCAGGAGGGCAGCAAAGGATTGCACACCAGCCTCTCAGAGCCAGTGCAACTCTTCCTGTGTCCGCAAGAGGGCGGCCAAGGGAATGGCCATTCATTTCATTAATGTTAATGGTGTTAATGGCGATCTCCAGCAAAGGATCACCGCCTTGTCGGGGCGCTGGAGCTTGAGCACCTCAATGATGTCATGAGCGAAACCGTGAAGGGCCACCCAAGACGGGACGGTTGTGGCAGAGAGGTCAGACCAAGCGTGATCCCTGGGGAAAGGCAATGGCAAACCACTCCAGTATCCTTGCCAAGAAAACTAAATGGACCAGTACAACCAGAGATATGTCGGTATGCCATTGGAAGATGGGACTCCCAGGTCGGAAGATGGCCAAAATGCTACTGGGGAGGAGCAGAGGATAAGTTCAACTAGCCCCAGATGTGATGACGCAGCTAGCTCAAAGCCGAAAGGAAGGCTAGCGGCCGACGGTACTGGAGGTGAACGACGAATCCGATGACGCTCTAAAGATCAACACACCATAGGAACCTGGAATGTAAGATCTATGAGCCAGGGCAAATTGGATGTTGTTATTGGCGAGATGTCAAGACTAAAGATAGACATTCTGGGGGTCAGCGAACTGAAGTGGACTGGAATGGGCCACTTCACATCAGATGACCACCAGATCTACTACTGCGGACAAGAGGAACATCGAAGAAATGGAGTAGCCTTCATAATTAATAAGAAATTCGCTAAAGGGGTGCTTGGATACAACCCAAAAAATGACAGAATGATCTCAATTCGAGTGCAAGGAAAGCCTTTCAACATTACAGTTATCCAAATATATGCCCCAACCACAGCTGCTGAAGAAGCAGAAGTAGATCAGTTCTATGAGGATCTGCAGGACCTACTGGATAATACACCAAAAAGAGACATTATTTTCATTACAGGAGACTGAATGCCAAGGTGGGAAGTCAAATGACAACAGGGATCACAGGCAAGCATGGTCTGGGAGAACAAAATGAAGCGGGACGCAGGCTGATAGAATTTTGCCAGGAAAACTCGCTGTGTATAACGAATACTCTCTTCCAACAACCTAAAAGACGGCTTTATACATGGACCTCACCAGATGGTCAACACCGAAATCAGATTGACTACATCCTTTGCAGCCAAAGGTGGCGGACATCCATCCAGTCGGTGAAAACAAGACCTGGGGCTGACTGTAGCTCAGATCACGAACTTCTTATTGCCCAATTTAGAATAAAACTAAAGAGATCAGGGAAAATACACAGACCAGTTAGATATGATCTCACTAACATTCCTAGCAAATATACAGTGGAAGTGAAGAACAGATTTGAAGGACTAGATTTAGTAAACAGAGTCCCAGAAGAACTATGGACAGAAGTCCGAGACATTGTTCAGGAGGCGGCAACAAAGTACGTCCAAAGAAAAAGAAAACCAAGAAGGCAAAATGGTTGTCTGCTGAGACACTGGAAGTAGCCCAAGAAAGGAGGAAAGCAAAAGGAAACAGTGATAAGGGGAGATATGCCCAGTTAAATGCGCAATTCCAGAGGTTAGCCAGAAGAGATAAGAAACTATTTTTAAATAAGCAATGCATGGAAGTGGAAGAAGACAACAGAATAGGAAGGACAAGAGACCTCTTCCAGAAAATTAGAAACATTGGAGGTAAATTTCAGGCAAAAATTGGTATTATAAGAAACAAAGATGGCAGGGACCTAACAGAAGCTGAAGAGATCAAGAGAAGGTGGCGAGACTATACAGAAGATCTGTATAGGAAGGATAATAATATTGAGGATAGTTTTGACGGTGTGGTGAATGAATTAGAACCAGACATCCTGAGGAGTGAGGTTGAATGGGCCTTAAGAAGCATTGCTAACAACAAGGCAGCAGGAGATGACGGGATCCCAGCTGAACTGTTTAAAACCTTAAAAGATGATGCTGTCAAGGTGATGCATGCCATTTGCCAGCAAATATGGAAAACACAAGAATGGCCATCAGACTGGAAAAAATCAACTTATATCCCCATACCAAAAAAGGGAAATGCGAAAGACTGCTCAATACTTCCGTACAGTGGCCCTTATTTCTCATGCCAGTAAGGTAATGCTCAAGATCCTGCAAGGAAGACTCCAGCAATACATGGAGCGAGAGTTGCCAGATGTTCAAGCTGGGTTTAGAAAAGGCAGAGGAACGAGAGACCAAATTGCCAATATCCGCTGGATAATGGAGAAAGGCAGGGAGTTTCAGAAAAACATCTACTTCTGCTTCATTGACTATTCTAAAGCCTTTTACTGTGTGGATCATAATAAATTGTGGCAAGTTCTTGGTGGGATGGGCATACCAAGCCACCTTGTCTCTCTCCTGAGGAATCTGTACAAGGACCAAGTAGCAACAGTCGGAACTGACCACGGAACAACAGACTGGTTCAAGATTGGGAAAGGCGTACGGCAAGGCTGCATACTCTCACCCAACCTTTTTAACTTGTATGCAGAACACATCATGCGATGTGCGGGGCTGGATGAATGCAAAGCTGGGGTGAAAATTGCTGGCAGAAACATTAACAACCTCAGATATGCAGATGACACCACTCTGATGGCCGAAAGCGAGGAGGAGCTGAGGAGCCTTCTAATCAAGGTGAAAGAAGAAAGCGCAAAAGCCGGGTTGCAGCTAAACGTCAAAAAAAAAACCAAGATTATGGCAACAAGAATGATTGACAACTGGAAAATAGAGGGAGAAAATGTGGAGGCCGTGACAGACTTTGTATTTCTAGGCGCAAAGATTACTGCAGATGCAGACTGTGGCCAGGAAATCAGAAGACGCTTACTTCTTGGGAGGAGAGCAATGTCCAATCTCGATAAAATAGTAAAGAGTAGAGACATCAGACTGGCAACAAAGATCCGCCTAGTCAAAGCCATGGTATTCCCTGTAGTAACCTACGGATGTGAGAGCTGGACCTTAGGGAAGGCTGAGCAAAGGAAGATAGATGCTTTTGAACTGTGGTGCTGGAGGAAAGTTCTGAGAGTGCCTTGGACTGCGAGAAGATCCAACCAGTCCATCCTTCAGGAAATAAAGCCCGACTGCTCATTGGAGGGAAAGATACTAGAGACAAAGTTGAAGTACTTTGGCCACATCATGAGGAGACAGGAAAGCCTAGAGAAGACAATTATGCTGGGGAAAGTGGAAGGCAAAAGGAAGAGGGGCCGACCAAGGGCAAGATGTATGGATGGCATCCTTGAAGTGACTGGACTGACCTTGAGGGAGCTGGGGGTGGTAACGGCCGACAGGGAGCTCTGGCGTAGGCTGGTTCATGAGGTCACGAAGAGTCGGAGACGACTGAACGAATGAACAACAACAAATGGTGTAACGTTAGAAAATGCAGAGAACAAAACCAACCTCTGTCCATGGCTTTCACCGACCTTGCAAAGGCATTCCACACAGTGAATGGCAGCGCTCTCTGGACCATCCTCCACAAAATGGGGTGCCCAAGCAAATTTGTGAACATCCTGCGGCTCCTCCATGAGGACATGATGGCAACAGTCTTGGACAGCAGTGGCTCCCAAAGTGACCCATTTAAGGTGGAATCGGGTGTCAAACAGGGATGATGTGTTATTGCCCCAACTCTATTCTCCATCTTCATCGCTATGATACTTCACCTTGTTGCAGAAGCTTCCCAATGGTGCCGAGAGCCCCCGCCCAGTAATTGGTCTGCGCTGCAGCGGAGAGTTCCGCAGTTCCTGGAAGCCAAAATAGGAAAAAACTGATATAATGTGACCCAACAGGCAGCTCCAACTAAGACTGCACTCAGCCTCTGTTACTTTCCCTCTAGCCCTGACTTTGTATCTAATCTCTAATAAAAGTACTTGAAAGTGCAACTTTTTAAACTTTTCCGCTTGATACTTTGTGTCCTTCACTGCCTAAGCTAACCAACCAATGCATGAAATAAACCTCTTTCCAGGCTCCGGGCAACCGCGAGCCTGCCTGGGATGCCTTCCTGGCGTCCCGGGGAGGCCGAATCTGCGTCAATTGGAACCGCGGATAAGGAGATCTCCCTTTCAGATCTCAGTATCCACAAAAATCTCAAAATGGCGGATCGGCCCCGTTTTAATGCCATATTTTTCTGTGCTTAATTCTTAACCAAACTGCTGTCTTGCTTTTCTCATTTTGTATCCCTACGCCCGGGAAATAATCTTTTTGTTTTAAAGAATAAAATTTGACAGAAAACAGCTGATTGTCATCTTTGCCGGCTCCGTGGAAACAAGCCTATTTCTCCCCGCTGCTGCTCGTTCCTGCCTAGCTCCGCAAATGGGGACTTGCTGCGGCTGCTCCCAGGAGACCTCGGAGAAGGGGCCGGGCAGGAGGCCCAGTCCTTGGGAAGGAGTTATAGTTCCCCAAGGACCAAGCTATGGATTCTGTTACCAATCAACTCAGCACCCATCTGCTAACCTCAGCCAAGGAAAAATGACTTTTTGGTGCCTGCTTTGAACTACAAGACACGCACATTTCCACAAACTCTTCCAAGGAAGCTCCGAGTTTTCAAATAAAGAAATGATTTTATTATTAGATATCTGGGATGGGAATGGGATCTTCTCTGTATGAAATATTGCTGTTTAAATATGTGCTCGTCCTTCTGTCTTACCCCCTGACTTTTGCCATAAAAAAATGTGACCCAGGACTGTTGAAATACCTGAGGGAGGACCACCGCCTCCCTGGAAGCTTACTTGATTATTCCACATCTGCATG